AAAAAAGACAGAAAGTCGATAGATTGGGTAGCTTGGCAGAGTAGTTACATGTGAGCTCAACATTGCCCTTGGGCATAATTGCTTGATGATCTCCTTCAATTGAAAGTTTTGTGTCTCACTGGTTCTTGCTAGCAATATGGGTTTTTTTTTTTTTTTTTCTTTTTTTTTGTTGGCGTTCAACTCCCATTTTTTTCAATTGAAATTCTTTTCGGATCTCATTGTCTAGGGTTAAACGATCAGCAAATTCGGACCATTCAAATTCAATCCGACGATTCTTATTAACTCAATTTGTTAATCCACCTAACACAAATCAAAAGCTTGAAGATCTGTCTCTTGAACGATTCAGATTACTGACTTTTAGATTTTGGACAGTGAGGTTCGGAGAGGATTTCAACTCCATTTCTATCCCTGCAGATGGAAAATCAAATGGACATCGGGACCCACCACATGAATGGAACCTCTGGACCTATCAGAGAGTGATAAGTGTTTGAGCTCCCCTTGTATTAGACCCCATCGTTTTGTAGGTACAATTGTCCTCTCCTCATCTTTTTTGGCTAACAAATGATGGTCCTTTTTGGCGCATATAAAAATGTACTCTTTGACGGTGACTGGCCTCTGATCTCCAATGGAGCTTTGGGGAGGGGAGAGAGTCTAGAGGTAAAGAAAAGAACTAATTAGGAGCACGAGAAGGATGTTTTGTGGGTGCTAATTGTGCTTTAGTGCAATATGGTAAGATCATTGGCTTATTATTTATGGACCTTTGATGGTAATTAATTGATGTGTTAATTCATATCTACTTTTTAATTGCACTTTAAAGCCCTATTTTAGAGAGAAAAAAAAAAAGAAAAAAAAAAGCATTGTTCAACTGTTATTGTATTGTCAGTTGTCAATCGAACTGCAGTAATAAAGCTATTCTTTTTTGTTTTTTTTTTTTTTTTTGAATTAAAACTCGAGTAACGGTGAGAGTCGGCCTATTGTTACAATTGATTGTTGTTGCACTGTAGGTGAGATGAAGATGAGAGTCGGCCTATTGTTACAATTGAGAGTCGGCCTATTGTTACAATTGTTGTCAGTTGTCAATCGGACTGCAGTAATAAAGCTATTCTTTTTTGTTTTTTTTTTTTTTGAATTAAAACTCAGAGTAACGGTGAGAGTCGGCCTATTGTTACAATTGATTGTTGTTGCACTGTAGGTGAGATGAAGATGAGAGTCGGCTTATTGTTACAATTGATTGTTGTTGCACTGTAGGTGAGGTGAAGATGAGAGTCGGCCTATTGTTACAATTGAGAGTCAGCCTATGGTTACAATTGATTATTGTTGCACTGTAGGTGAGATGTGTCTTTTTCCTTGTATAAATTGATTGTTTTATGTCACATCCCGGCCCGGGCCCCATCACATTCCGGCCTCGACTCCACCGTAGCACGATATTGTCTGCTTTGGGCCTTGACCACGCCCTTACGGTTTTGTTTCTGGAAACTCACGCGAGCAGAACTTCCTAGTAGGTCATCCATTTTGAGAATGCTCTCGCGCGAACTCGCTTAACTTCGGAGTTTCAATGAAACCAGTGAGCTCCCAAAAAGCCTCGTGCTATATGGAGATGAAAATATACATATAAGGCTTACATGATTCACTCCCCTGAACGATGTGAGATGTCACATTTTAAGTGTTTTCCACAAGTATTATTAGTTATCAATCCGACTATACATTTGGTTGAAGCTCAATAAACAATGAAGATGAGAGTCAAACTTTCGCGTAAATATGGATGCCACTTGTAGATTCTTGTCTTACAGTTGATCAATTTTCTTCAATGCATTAGAAAATTTTATGAATGGTTTGAAAATCGTCCGAAGAGTAGTTGGCATGCCCTTAAATTCAAATTTGTGCATTTGAAAAGAAACGAACCTAGTGGCATTGCTGAGCTAAGAACTACGATGTATGAACACGGTAGTATTTTCTCGTATTTATGTGTCGTGTCAGGTTGTATCACCGTGTCGTGTCGTATTTTCTTGTGGTCATACAACAATTCTTCTTGTTAATTTAACGTATTTTTGTATTGTATCGTGTCATATCTCCGTATCCGTATCCGTGTCCGGCTAAGAATAATGTCTCTCTCTCGGTAGTGGCTCTTGTTATCCACGATTGGTTGATGATATCTTCCATTTGGGACACACTTCCTTTTGTTAATCTAGTCATTGCTTGGGGAATTAGTAGTTAGAGACTCAATGCAAACTTATTTTGTAAGTGACTTCTAATCCTAACTGCCACATCCTTCAACTTCTATATATATGGGGTCCTAGGCTAGGCAAGCACTAGTCCCACTTCCATGTTGTGTTCCATGCACATACTCCTCTCATTTTTAGTTGTTGGACATTAAGAACCAAGATTAAGAGGCGGTCTACATGAGGTGAAAAATAACGTGCATAAATTATGAAAAATAATGTGCATAAATCATTCTGGTTAAGTTTATAAATAAAAAAAAAAAGTAAAAAATATACGGGAGAAATTGCACTTTAACGACCGTAGATCAACTTTTTGAGAGCATCAACAATAACTTTTGGGAAGATTATGTATAATGAAGCCTTTTTCTTTTGATCTCAATTATGAAACCATGTTAAAACCTCTTAATTCCATTTCTAGTCATTCATTCAAGCACCCTTTTCTCCTACTAGCCTAATTATACCAACCTGCAGCTTTTGGTGGGACGGAAAGAGGGGACCTCAAGGATTGAAATCTATTATTTTACATATATTTGTATATGTACATAGATGGATCAGTGACACCGTTTTTTTTATACACTTTTTGACACATATTTTTGTAAGGCCATTTTGTAATGTATTTTAATAATTTGAACCGTCTATCTTATAGGTCTTCCTTAAAAAATCATGTCAACAAAAAATCACCAAAATCTGAAATCGCATAACCGTTGGATTAAGGATTTAGGGTTCTTTGTAGAACGTAATCGTCCGTTTTCATCATTACAAGTGAATATCTTAGTGCTTTCAGATTTGTTTAATTTTTTATAAGAATGATTTATGAATAATGTTCTAAAATATAGACGTTCAAATTATTAAAATACATTACAGAATAAAAAATTATGTAAAAAATATGATGCTACAGATCATCACCATATACATACACATGTATAGTGATGAAAGCAACATCAAAGTGGAATATGTATTCATATTCAAATTTAGAGAAACAAAAGCCTATATACTCACCTCTTCTGGTTTGATCTACTTTCCATTGCATACATCATGGTGATTGATGAATAATAATAATTAATGGCAATGGCACTAAAATGTTATGACCACAATCATGTGTCTGTTAGAAATCCAACTAACTATACTCTCTCTCTCTCTCTCTCTCTCTCTCTCTCTCTCTACATCCACATTTGTCTTTTGGTCCCATCTCCCGTGCATATGCAGATGACGACAATGCGCTATTCCCTCACCCACCATTACTTACCATTCACCATTCACCATTCACCATTCGCATGCTTGGTTCTACTTTCTTTTTCTTTCTTGATATCTCAATAATAAGGAAAATGATTTTCACACTCTTATCTTTTTTACTTGCATTTTTTCTCTTTATTTTCATTACTTGATTCATTATTGATTTATTCATTTATGTGGATGTAATGACTCTTTGAGCTAGTTTTTTGCATAATTCACCCCTTATGTTACCCAAAAAAAAAAACCCTTCTCAAATAAAACCCAATAAGCTAACTGTCACAGAGTGCCCTAGCGGTTGCGAATGAATTTCAAGTCATATTCCACACTTCACATTATGAGTTCGATTCATGGCGATGGTGAATCACATGATGATGGTCTGGAAAAGGTTAAATACCTCTGTGAATCTTCCTGACTCCTGAAAAAGTGAACTGTTATGGTGAAGCTATCAACTAATCTCCTTTTCAAGAATAAAAATTAAAACTCAGTAAGTTGCACCAAAAACAAAATAATACCCTATAAGAGTTGGTTCATGTTTACTTTTCCCTCCTCGGGTTTAGGACCCATGGAAGTCAATGCTATGTTTAGCCCAAGGAATACACAGTAAGGGCCCAACAAACCTAATAAGGCCCAAGCCTTACATAATCATTTTAGCACCGCAACAATCTAGAGTCGGAACTCTACCAAAGAAGAGTAATGATTTTCACACTCTCAGTTTCTTTTATTGCACTCTTTTACTTATTTATTTTGTATCAATTAATTTTACTTTGAAGTACTCAATCCGAAGGCTAGAAGAAAAAATTTGCAGAAAGAAAATAAGAAGTGCAGAAATCATTTTTTAAAGAAAAAATATTTTGAAACTCAATTCGAACAATTCCATGACCCTTTTTGGAAATTTAAAAGGAAAAATAATCATCTAAATTCTTCTTACTTTGAAATTATTTATAGGCATGTTTGGGATTGATTTTGAAAAAACCAAAAATACTACTAAGTAAAACCACTTCTACATGAACACTTGTAATTAAGTGTTTTTCCCTCTAATTTTTAAGTGTGTTTTTTTTTTAAGGGATCAATTGGTGGCTTCGCTACAGTCCTCCTTCCGGAAATTAGAAAGACTCAGATAGGCATTTTAGTCTCCATTTGGTCACCATCACGTGGTTCACCAGTATCAGGAATCAAACACATGACGTTTCTTGTGAAAATGTGATTAGTGAGAAGAGACCCTCAATGAATGGAAATTTTTTTCATTGTGATGGGACACGGGTAATACATCACGTGTTTCTATGTAAGTGGTAAGAGATATTATTTTTTAAGTTATTAACTTTTTAATACACATATCTCATTATCTCATTATTTGTATAGTGACACGTGATGTACCATCTCGTGTTCCAGTCACATTGAAAAATCTCTTTAATGAATGTGAGACACTTTTAACATTAATCTTGCACGATTTTATTCTTTTTAATTTTATTACAAAATACAAAATTACCAAAGGAGAATCCTATAAATAAAAAACAAAATCCAATCAAACAAGGAAGAAGGGGCAAAAAAAAAAAAAATCCTTCCCGCGCCCTCTCACCAACCGGCCCGGCCGGCCTTCACTTTTGTCTCGTAGTCGTCATCATCATCCAAGATTCTCCACTTCTTCTCCTCCTCCTCCATTAATTAACCGCTAATCACCATTCCATTAGCTTAATTAACACGCTTCCTCCTCACTCTCACTCTAATCCTCCAATGGCCTCCAAATTTCCCACCTTTTCGCCGGCCTTCACAATCCTCCTTACTATCCTCTTCCTCGACTTGGCTTACTCGTCCACCGTCGGTGTCCGACACATTTCGCGCCTTCTCGAAATCCAGGACCGCGAGAAGGCGCCGCCGTACGTTCAAGTCGCTGCCGCTCGCGGAGTCCTCCGCCGCCTCCTCCCCTCTCACTCTTCCAGCTTCGACTTCCAAATCGTCTCCAAGGTATCTCAAAATTCTCCTTTTTTTCTAGTTGTAACTTGAAAAGTTCTTTTTTTTTTTTTTTTCAAATTTAGGAAAGGTACAGTCTTTTTGTCAATGAATTTTATTTTATTTTTATAAATATCTGTCGCCGAAATATTGTTAATTATGCTTCTAATTCCATTTGGAATGTCACCTGACGGTTTCCGAATCCAATCACACAACTTTCCTGCGTGACAATGCGTCATTGACTTGTGATACCACCAACTTGGACTCCCATGTGTGGGGAAGTTCTTGGATTTCACTCTTATGAAAAATTGTGGTTTATTTAATTTGCAGGAGCAATGTGGGGGTGCATCTTGCTTTATGATCAAGAACAATCCTTCTTTTCGCAGACGCGGGGATCCTCGAATTCTGTATGTTGGCATTGTCTCTCCTTCTCAATAAAATTTAACCTTGAATCAAACCCATCGACAGATATAATTTAATAGTTGAAGTTGCCGATGTATATTTTCATTTGACTTTTGAAATTCCATACTTTAACTAGAATTTCTGGGGTCACTGGAGTGGAGATTTTGGCTGGTCTGCACTGGTACTTGAAGAATTTGTGTAATTCACATATATCTTGGGATAAAACTGGTGGTGCGCAACTATTTTCAGTCCCGAAATCAGGGTTGCTCACTCCGGTGCAAGATGCCGGCATTTTGGTCCAGAGACCTGTTCCTTGGAACTACTACCAGAATGCTGTTACTTCCAGCTGTAAGCTTCTACTTTGACATTGTTTTACGTATTCGCGATTTCAAAGTTCAAACCTTGGAACTTTTCTTTCAATAAATTGGAAGTGATCTTTTCTTTTATCTGATTTCTTGAAGATACATTCGCCTGGTGGGATTGGGAAAGATGGGAGAAGGAGATTGACTGGATGGCCCTTCAAGGGATCAATTTGCCACTAGCATTTACAGGGCAAGAGGCTATTTGGCAGAAAGTTTTCCAGGTGATTTTCTTTCTCGCCTTTGTTTTTTCATCCCTGTTTTCGTCTTGTAAAAAATAACGAACAAATCAATGGTTTTTTCATTTCTCACCAATGTCTTGTTTATACTCTAGCAGAAATTTAATATGAGCAAATCAGACCTGGATGAATTTTTTGGAGGCCCCGCTTTCCTTGCTTGGTCTCGTATGGGAAATTTGCATGGGTGAGCTTTCTTAGACTGCAAAAATTTCCGACTTTGTTACAATGTAGCCTTTTTCCTTGATGATATAAAATGTTTTTTCGCAGATGGGGCGGACCTCTACCTCAAAGTTGGTTGGATCAACAGCTGATTCTGCAGAAAAAGATTCTGGTCAGAATGTATGAACTTGGAATGACTCCAGGTACTGATTATCACAAGACATATAGCCTCGAGTACTTCCTAAATTTAGTACTTTAAGTTCTTTGAAAGGGAAGAAAAAGGACATTAACACACATGATGTTTTCATTCCTGCTTTTAGTCCTTCCAGCCTTTTCTGGAAATGTTCCTGCAGCGCTCAAAACTACATATCCATCAGCGAAGATAACACGCTTAGGAAATTGGTAAGTACTGCTACATTCCACTTTTATAATCTAACTCTTAAACACCTGACCTGTGTTTTTCGAATTTTGTTTCAGGTTTTCTGTTAAGAGTGATCCTAGATGGACCTGCACTTACCTTCTTGATGCAACTGATCCGTTGTTTGTTGAAATTGGGAGAGCATTCATTGATCAACAAGTAAAAGGTTGGTAATCTGGATCTTGTGCCTCCCCACTTTATATTTGTGGATATAATATTTGTGTCAAACACTAATTCCGTTCTAATTTCTTCTCATTGGTCGATTACCTATTTGTTCAGAGTACGGCAGGACTAGTCACATATACAACTGGTATAAGGGTTCCTCCACTTACGTTCTTCAAAAGCTCATTCTTCCATTCTTTTATAATCATTGACATCTGCTAGATAACATTTATTAAACTGGTCATTAAATTCTCTCAAATACATGTAAAATTAACCAGTTTGTTTCGCTCTTTTTGTCTCCCAAATAATTGCCTGAGCTTTACTTAAACTCCAAAGATTATGTTAACATTGTTTATGATTGAACCTGTGCAGTGATACTTTTGATGAGAATACTCCACCTGACGATGCTCCGGAGTACATATCTTCGTTAGGTGCAGCAATCTTTAGGGGTATGCAAAGTGGAGACAAGGACGGTGTCTGGTTAATGCAGGTAAAAGGAATTATCTCCAAGCCATATGTTTTATGAGAATATGGTTAGTTACGATGAGTCCTCGATGCAATTATGTACAGATCTGTTGACTTTTTGTTTGGTATGCTAATGAGTTTCCAGGGGTGGTTATTTTCATACGATCCATTCTGGAGGCCTCCGCAAATGAAGGTTAGATTTATAATTTATTTTCTCCAACCGTAAGCCATTTTAATTTCGTATCTTTCTTGCTCCCTTTTTTCTCGGCTTTGGTTGACAGTGAAATGTGCTTATTTCAGGCACTTTTACACTCTGTTCCCGCGGGGAAGCTGGTAGTACTTGATCTGTTTGCTGAAGTGAAACCTATATGGAGTACTACGGAGCAGTTTTATGGTGTTCCTTACATCTGGAAAGTCATATGTCTAAAGCTTGACAATTATGTCCATCTTGAAGTTTAAGCTGCTATAAGTCCTTTATTGTATACTGCAGAAGGACATTTTAAGTTCATCTATGCCTTCTCTGAAGATTCTTATTTGATTTGTCGGAGTTCTGTATTACAGGTGTATGCTGCACAATTTTGCAGGAAATGTTGAGATGTACGGAGTTTTGGATGCAATAGCATCTGGACCAATCGATGCTCGTATAAGTGAAAACTCAACAATGGTATCCACCCATAAAAAGTTCGCTTAGTCATGATATTATAAGTTGTTTAGTAATCTTTGATTAGGCTTTGCATCAACACATGTTAAATGCCTTCATTTAACTACATAGTATCTTCATATGATTAATCTTATCGATTACTTTTTCTGAAGGTTGGTGTTGGAATGTCAATGGAAGGTATAGAACAGAATCCTGTTGTTTATGATCTCATGTCTGAGATGGCTTTTCAACACAACAAAGTTGATGCTAAGGTAAGCTTAAGTTGTTTCCTAATCCCATTGAACGTTAGGATACCTGTGACTTGTAACTGGTGATTAGGATATAAAACCGAAAAATCATTCACTCATTCCGATTTCAGGCCTGGATTGATCAATATTCTGCCAGACGTTATGGCCGTTCAACTCCTTCAATACAAGATGCCTGGAATATACTATATCATACCATCTATAACTGCACTGATGGTGCCTATGTAAGTTCCCGGCTTAATTTCTTTTAGTATCTTCATCTGTAGGATAATTTCTCGCTAGTTATTACCTTGAAAAACATTTTTACCTTTTCAATTTTTGCAAGATTGCATTGGCTCAATCTTGTTCCCACACAACATTTCAATTGGATTCCATAAATCATGGTTCCTCTTTTCAGTTCAAATTTTTGTTAGTGCATGGATGCCATAACTAGTAGTTCCTACTAAAACAGGACAAAAACAGGGACGTGATTGTGGCATTTCCCAACGTTGATCCATCCTTAATATCAACACTGTCAGAAGGTCGTCATCAAAATGAGAAACCAGTAGCAGGAAGTGCAGTCCTCCAGGAAGTAACTGATTCGTTCGATCGACCTCATTTATGGTATTCAACTTCTGAAGTAATACATGCATTAGAACTCTTTATTGCAAGTGGAGATGAGCTCTCAGAAAGTAGTGCTTACAGGTTAGCCCCTTTGAGTACGAAAAACCTCACACGCATTAGCTTTTTCGCACTTAAAGTTTTCGCATTAGTTCTATTTGACATTTTAACTGTACTGCTCAGGTATGATCTTGTTGATCTGACAAGACAAGCCTTATCTAAATATGCAAACCAGCTCTTTCTAAAGGTCATAGAGGCCTATCACTCAAATGATGTCCTTGGAGTGGCACGCGACAGCAAGAAGTTTTTAGACCTAGTTGAAGACATGGACGCACTCTTAGCCTGCCATGATGGATTTCTCCTAGGACCCTGGTTGGAAAGTGCGAAGAAACTTGCACAGGACGAAGAACAGGAAAAACAGGTTCGAATCCCCATTGAATTACATTCCCTAAATAAACTTATACTAGCAAGGAAAGCAAGATTTTGTTTTTCATCTGATGTGATCCGAAAATGCAGTTTGAGTGGAATGCTAGAACTCAGATAACAATGTGGTTCGACAACACAGAGGAGGAAGCAAGTCTGCTCCGCGACTACGGTATGCCAAGTGATGTAGTAACATTGAACCGTCTGCGATCTGCATCCATATACATTGCGGTAAACATCTGTCTTTTCGATTTTTTCATGCAGGAAACAAGTACTGGAGCGGGCTTCTACGCGATTATTATGGCCCTCGAGCAGCTATATATTTCAAGTATTTAACGAAAAGCTTGGAGGAGGGCGGCGAGTTTGGATTGAAGGATTGGAGGAGGGAGTGGATAAAGCTGACGAATGATTGGCAAAACAGCAGGAAGACGTTTCCTGTGAAAAGTACTGGAAACGCTGTCAAGACATCCCGGTGTCTTTTTGATAAGTACTTATTAGGAAGTGCTTCTGACATACAACCACTTAATGAAGATGCTTATCCGAGATTGTAATTATAATGTGTTTGAATAATATGGATATGAAGACTTTGTGTGATGGACTGCTGTTTTCTTCAGTAATTAAACTAATGAGAGTGGCAATGCATCCCATTTCCGTCCATGCTGTTTCGGGTTCGAAACTTTCTCCTCTCATAAGCTATAGTAATAGTTTCAAACCATTACCATGCCCTTAATAATTATAATTTTTTAAAAAATTGATAAGTTTGGCATAATTCATAGACATTTACAACAAAACCCTATTTTTATGTTTCTTTTTTATTCATTTTTAAAATAAGTTATTTGTTGCTACTTAATACTACGCTTTACTAATATTCCTCTTTGTTTGTTCAAAAACAAAAAAAAAAAGTTATTTGTTTACCACATCATTACAAGTCTTACAACAAAAAAAAAAAAAGAAAAAAAAATATTTAAGTAACGTGTCTATATAGCTACACATATAAAATCAAGATGCCTTGTATTTATTTATTATTCAAATATATTCATGATCTCACATATACAACTTTCTTTATCATTTAAGTTCATTATTTTGATGTGTGCACAAAAATTGTTTGACTCGTGCTTCTTTTGGTTGAGTATATATGTTTTACACAATATGATGCTAGAGGGATCATTTGTTTAAATCATACTTTGTAAATATGTGACTATCAGTTGATGGTCAGATGCATTTTATAAAAGACGAATGTATGACACCACTTTTTTTACACAATTTTTGACTCACGTTTTGTAGGATCGACTCCATAATTGTATTTAACGATTTGAACCGTCTATAACATCATTCATAGATTATCATTACAAAAATCTAGACAGATAAAACTATTAAGACATTCATTTGTAAGTAAGAAAATGGATAAATATAGTTCTATAAAAAAATCATAAACTTTTAATCCACCAGTCATATAATTTTAGATTTTGATGACTTTTTATAAACATAATCTTTAAGAAAGACTTAAAAAAATAAACGTTTAAATATATTATAAAATGACACATTAAAGAATAAACAACCATTAACCGCAACAATCAATATTTTTTATATTTGAATCTTGACATCCTTATCAAAAGTTGGATCATGTATCGTGTCATTTGATGGGAACTCTAGCTTTGACTTGGAAATATATACCACGGAATATATTGAAATTTGGATCGCGATCGGTGAAGCTTTGAGGTTACAAGCTTGACGTAGAAGAAAGCCGCCAAGAAATTTCGACTCTACTGGGCAGATCCCAACCGGATTTTTCGCGGATCCTTTTGACGAGGATTTTAAAGATTCGTAAATCGTACTCGTTCATTGTATATCGTGTGATCAATATTTATCAAATACTATTTGTGTTTAATTTTAAATAAAAATATTTAAAATAATTTCTGATCGTACGATGTACGATGAACAAACGAGAATTCAGATTCGGGCAGGTCCTTTTATTATCAGTTTTTATCAAAGTCAAAAGTCTTTGTTCTGGATTGTTCCAGAAGGCTTTTGAGAAATACACGGTTAAGTTTACTTACAAAATTGCCCTTATTAGTTGAATAATCAGTAATTCATAAACCTATAGTTAGGAGGAGCTAGTTGACCAAAAATTCGGCCGGAGAAAATTGTAAATTTCCTAGAAGAAGATGAATCACGGTAGCAGTATTGAATAAATCAAATCAAAACAAAAATAGCATTAAATAATTAGCATGTGAAAAATAAAAAGTATGTATTTATCAGATAAAATCGTTCTTTCTTTACTTTACAATAAGTAAGTCAATTAGTACACAACATTCATTTTTAAAAAGTGAATAACGAATTTTACTGACGAGCGTTAAAGCGTTGCGCTTTGCCTTTAGATTTTCAACCTCTAAAATCTTTTAAATCCAAACTCAAATATAGTGTGTTAAGCAAACTTGTTTGTAGTAACATTATTGAATTAGAGAATTCTTTCTATTTTTACTCACATAGTGATTAATATAGATACTTCCTCTTTAGAGACTCGTCCACTAAAAATTTCTCATGCACTACACTTAGTACTGGTTTGGTACTGGAGTGCTTTTATAAAAAGTGGGTATAAAAAAAAAATTGAGTTAAAAAGTGTGTTTGGCTTATTCTCACAGTACATCAAAATCAGTTTTTTTCAAAGCATAACAATACCAAACCAGAATATCATCCGAATTTAAAACGACTAATTATCAATATTCCATTCACTCTTCAAGGAAATTAAAATTGGAAAAGGAGATAAGGGTATTCTTGTCATGAAAAATGAAAAAGGGGAAGAGTGAAATGTTCAAATACACGTCAGTCATACGCGTCCCAATACATTGTATATATTATTTTTCCATTTAAGTCCCCAGCACGCGTCCGAATTTAATATTTGGTCCAACTCCTATCGAATCTATACTCCTATAAAATCATACGTTAAACCCCTCCTCCCATATCACGTTTCTACTTCTCTCCAGAAATTTTGAATTACCCCCAAAATCCCAACCCGATTTTCTCACCGTCCCCAATCGATCGAGTTCTTCCGCCGATTAATTCCAGCTTCAATTCCTCGAGAGCGATCATGAACGGAGGCAAAGCGAATCACGAGAGCTCGTGGGCCGATCAGTGGGATTACAACAACTCCTCTTACCCCGTCGAAGCCAAGGGCGGCAGCGACGGCGGAACCGCAGCAAAGTACAAGCAGAAGGTCGGGGAAGGCCTTGTGAAGACCAAGGCGGTGGCTTCGACCGGCGCTAAGAAGGTCAAGGAAGGCGCCTCCGCTGGATTCCACTGGATCAAAGAAAAGTACCAGAAGGCTACCCAGAAGCGTTGATTTTGAATTTTCTTGTTAATTTCTTGATACAGAGTTTTAATTTCTTGGGTTTTTAAATATGATTTGAGCTTCTAGTTTCGTTGTAGGGTGATTTGTTGTTGGTAATTCGTTTGTACAGACAAACTTGTATGATCTTTTGTTTATGTTTTGATGATAAATGCATAAATCTAGCGTACAAGGCTACCAGAAATATACATATTTATCCAATTATTATCATTTTTAAATATTATTCCATTTACTTTATTTCTATTGATCCGGGTGAAGCAAATTTCTTGGTTATCATCGTTGACAAATTTTTAGGTGTATTTGGAATACTTGGCACGTGGTTTTTACAACCTATTAATTTTAATGAAATAATAAAATTACTAAACAATGTTTCGGGTTCATTGAATTTTTTTTCTGTGATTGTTACTAATTCACTTATGAATTATAATTTAAGTTTATATTTGAGAGTATTATTATAATATTGGAGCTGAGAATAGAAGATCAGAATCGGGTCCAAGCCAGTTTTACTGGGTCGGTTCTAACCCGCCTAAATGGAGAAATTCTACCGTTCGAACGATTGAGCCATGTCTTTGCTCAGGTATACAGATGGAGACACAGACAGCTCCTATATTTAACTGACAGGCCATCTCTCTCTCTATTTTTTCAATATGAAAAGAGGGGGCCGGTGGCATTGAGAAAATATAGAGAGAGATGGCTTATATTTAGATGGGGAGAGGGGACCACATGGATACACATAGAGATGGCCAATATTAAACTGACAGGGGAGAGGGGACCACTTGTAACACTTGTGAATGCATTTCTTCTTGTGATTTTTATTATTTATTTATGCATAAATCTCAAAGTTTGATTAGAACGAATGAATTACTCATTCCAAAATGTCATGTATTTTCAGAATAATCATATAATAGCCACTTTTTAGAACTATTGTTCGAATATTTTATTGACGTATAATCTCATAAGGGGGCATTTGTTTGCTCTGGGATTAGACTAAACTGGACTAGCTGTTAGTCCAATACCCTGTTTGTTTCGTGCTGAGATTAACATTAATAAGACTAAAGGGGACTCGCATAGACAAAACCCTTCGCTAAGAGGTCTTAGTAAGACCCCCCAATAACCATGGGACTGCTAAGACCTCTCTCTGCTACTGCTTGTGTTGCTAGCTTTCTGTCCTCGCTCCGAAATCACACCACCAGACTTGAAGCCCTTCTGCGTACGTAGTATAACGCTACAAGTCATCTGCTTCTCTGCAACTCTGGCCACCTATACCCAGATCTGAAACCCACCACACCCACCGCCTAATTCTCAACATCCAACCACCAAAATTTGAAAAGAAAAAAAAAATCAATTTGATAACAACAGCAAAATCAATAGAAAAATTCTTATTTTCCAAGAATTTCTGAGAAAATCAGAGGAGGGGCGAGAAATAGAGTGGTTGTGAAATCCATGGCACTGCAGAGAGGAGCCTCTGCATGATTTCAATTTTCCATGGGATTTGAAATTGGGAAATCAGAATCTGTGGTGCCATAAATAATTTAGAGCAATCACAACAATAAAGAAAAGAAAAGGGGAAAAAAAAAGAGAGAACAAAAGGGGAGTGATGAATGATGCTGTTTTGAGGGAGGAGAGTGGATAGGAAAAGAAAAAGACGAAGAGAGGGAGAGGGTCGGAACAAAATTAGGAAGAAAAAGGAAGATTAAAGGAAAAAAAAATTAGGAATGGAGATGAGAGGTTTCTAGAATAAAAAAAAAAAAAGAAATAGACAGTGGAACTAATAAAATATTACTAAATATGTATTAAATGATATAAAATATTAATACAATATGAATGAATAAAAATATAATATTAGAATCTGTTGTTATTCTGTTGTTTAGTCCGACAGTGTATCAAACATTTCACTAAGTCAATCCAGTTTAGTCTAGTTTAAGCCAATCCAACTTAGTCCCTAAAGCTAGTCCAGTCCGAGATAATCCGGTACAACAAACGCACCCTAAATGTTTGCAGCAAGATATGAATGATGAATGTTGGTCATATTCATTGCACGTGATGAAATCAATGAAAGATTATACCATAATTGACCCATAGACATAGGGGTGGGCATAAAAACCGAATCGAATCGTGACAAACAAAAACCGTAAAAAACCGCGTTGACCAAAAAAGTCAAAGCCGGATCGAACAACTTTTAATATAAATTATTGTTTTATTATTATTTTTATATAAATAAGACATTTTTCCAAGAAGACCATGTGCATAAGCCCAATATTTTTCTTCACTTCTCTCCCCACCCTTTGTTGTTTTATCGCTTTTCTCCCCCTACATTATTTTTCTCCATTATTTTCCAGTATATTATGCATTATGTATTTTAGTTTTAGTTTAAGATCTACACTTTGGCCTTGATATGAGCATTTCTATCTTTTGATTTATATTTATATGCACACTTTCTATTTTCCGGTTACAAATCTTGTAAATCTAGTAGTGGAAACTCAAATTTACTTGAATTTATGGTTGTAATATGTGTTTGGTATTAGAAGTAGAAAATTAGAAAAAACATATGTATAATTTTGGTTAGAACCATAAACCGGCATGAACCGAACTAGAACCGTCATGAACCGAACCGTATGGTTTTAGTAATAAATTTAAGCAGAACCGCATCGAACCGAACCGTTAAAATTTTCTGATTCCGATTTCATTTTGAGGGTGAAATCAGACCGAACCGGACCGTGCCCACCCCTACATAGACAAGGATTATGTCCCCTTTTTTTTCTCTGCTTTTCTTCCTTTTGTGTTTGAACGCTTAGAATTTCATCTTGTAGTGAGATAAAATGAAAAAGGTATAGAGAAAAAGAAGAGAAAAGACACTGTGAGGACAGGGGAGGGAGGAAAGGGCAGAAGGAAGGAAAAGTATCTCATCCATTAACGAATGAGGGAATAAAAGTACGAAGGACAAGTTCAGATTGCAAGTCTTTATTTTTTTGGTAAATAAGTTGAGGTAACAACTTGCGAATGTTCCTAATTTGGTTTCGCAACAGTGTTTCTTGTAGCAACCCACCAACCTTTTTCAGATTAATTATGCTTTTGGTTCTGACTGCAGATTTAATCTCATAATTAATATCCGCATGAAAATTTGGTCCTTAATATTATTTTTTCCAAAAGATTAAGTCTTTAAACTCTTTAAAAATTATAAATTTCACTCCTATTATTAGATTTGAAGATATTCTATATATATTTTTATCAATTCAAGTCACGTTATTTGTATGTGAAACACATTTGGGTATAGATTGGTAGTTTGTAATGAGTTTAAGTACTTATTTATTCAGAAAAAATTTATAAAGTTAACTTTAGAAGGTAAATTTGCAATTATATTCATGATTTATATCCAACATTAAGGGCTTATGGGTGAAATAAAAAGACAGTATTACCCTTAAAGTGGTTGTGTTCATCACGTGACTTAAATTTACAGAAAGTTTAAATAGAATAGTTTCAAACTTAATGGTAGGGATGAAATTGCGAAATTTTAAGAGTCTACGAACTTAATTTTCTGAAAATAAAATTTAGAAACTTCATCTTCACTCACGTGATAAATTAGGGACTAAATCAATAATTCACCCGATAATATTATATATTGTAGTTGTTGAATCCAAAGGTAAAAAAATTTAAGGGCTAGTGTGACATCCCGTCCCGGGATTTTTAAAAACGTACTAGTGAAATGACATTTTAGCCCCTAGTTCGTTTCGTTATTTGGTTTTGGTTGTTTTGTGTGGTGTTGGCAAGCTGAGGGCCACACACACACACTGTCTCACTGTCTCCCTCTGTCTCTCTCTCTCTGTGAGTTCCCCGAGCCCCATTCCCTTTCCTCCTCTTCGAAAACGTACGGACAAACCCACAACCACCCTAAACACTAACAGATCGAGGGAACCAAGGACATATTTAAGCTCGTGAGGTCGAGGGGAACACAACCGTAGCAATTTCAGGTGAGAAACATTTAGTTTTCACGTCGTTTCGAAGTGATCCGAATTGTGTACTGTTCATGCAAAGTTTGTACATTAAGTTTTTGGGTTTTCTGAGCTTGTAGATGTGTTGGTGAGGTCCCAAGGAGCCTCGGAGTGCTTCGTTGGACAAAATTGGACGTCGGGATCGTCCTGTTCTAAGTTGGCCGGTTTTGGAGAAATTGCACAGGTATAATCTCTTAGTTTTAGCCCTTAAAACTTGTTGGGACTTGTTCTACTAGTCTAGGGCTTTCATTTGGTCCAAAAATCACGAAAAACGATTGAAAAATGAGTGAGAAAACCTGAGTTGCAGGTTTTCCCAGGTTCCGGCGCCGGCGACGTTGCCGGCGATCGAAGGAAGAAGGCGACGGAATATTCCGTCAATTCTGACGGAATATTCCTAACGCCGTTAACGGAACCAGTTAGTTTTAACGGAATATTCCGGGGTTTTAACGGAATATTCCTGACGGCGTCTGTTGACACCGTCAGTGTGCCTGGCACGTGGCCGCGCGTGGGGGGCGCGTAGGTCCGTGCCTGTGCTGGCGCGTGGGGGCGCGTGCGGGGTCCAAAATTTTTTCTAAAAATATGGTTGTGACCCTGAGGTTGTGTAGAGCACGTGGGTATATTCATTTGTCCATTTTGAGCAATGTATGAGAAGTTATTACGAGAAACGGGTTATGTGCTTTAAAGTTAACGTTTTTATAGTTGTTTCGCATCTAGGTGACACGTACCCAGAGGACGAGCGTGCACATGCGAGACAGGGGGGCTACGACCCTTCTACATACCAGTGAGTGGGCTTTTGTTTTCCGTATATACCTATATACATTTATATTCCCAGAATTTGATTAATAAGGGTTATTTACATTATGCCATGCACTTTATTATTATCGTTTATGCATCATTGCATGCATTATTTGTGGCATACATATACATATGCATATGTCATATATATTTATATGTGGGTGCTGTGGAGGCATAGGTAAGCGTTAATTAACGATTGCATTAAATAGTGGATAGAGATGCTTAGAGAGCTCATAACCTGCACCCCCGGTGTTAGTGCTCCCGCCCAGAGTAGGGCACAGTCCTTCACGTGTTGTTCACCTCCCGCACCATACGCTCAGCTTGGATCCAAGCTAGGTGCATAGGCTTGTCGTACAGACCACAGTAGGTGGTTCCGACTCGTAGGTGACCCGCGATTATTCGCACAGCCCTCACGTGATCGTAGCACTAGAGCGTATATACGTGTTACACCCAGGCCTGTCGTACAGACCCCTTTAGGTGGTTCCGACTCGTGGGCAGGTTTAGATGTAGAGTTGAGATTTGAGCTCTATATACAGCCGTACAGGTCACGTTAGGTGACTCCGGCTACCAGAGGATTGTGTGATTATTATGACTCATACCTGAGCACTTGCATATCATTATGAGATTCCGTTGTGGCATATTCTCGAGCATGAATGGCATATCATGGAGCATGATTGACATATCTATACATACGTATATATGTTTATTTTCTGGGAATTATACAGGTTTTACGGCGAGGGGTTAGATTGTATTTTGCTAAATGGTTTTAAAAGAGCTTTGTTTTTGCCCACTCACGCTTTTGTTTTGCGCCCCTCCAGGTTCTAGTTGCTTAGCCGTTGCGGTGGTTTCCCTTGAGAGCTTTTCGGCGTTCTGACAGACACTCCCCATTGTAGGGTCGCCTTCGGGCGTACTACTGTTGTTGTTTTATTTGGACTGCTATAGACCTGCTCTGAATTTGTATCGCACTAACTAGCACTTGTTCTAGTACTTGTATGCTAGTTTTTAATTATTCGTACTTTTATATTACTACTTATTAGCTTCCGCACGTGCACATGGCTACGTCACCTTTGTGTGACGGCCAGCACGCTCCGATCTCGGTCGGGGTGTGTCAGCTAGTTTAGTATCTTGTTTCTCAAAATATTTTTTAAGAATATTTTTTTTTCTTAAGACTCAAAAACTTGTTTGGTATGAAATTCAAAATTGTTTTTATATTTAACAATTAAAGAAAACCTCTCATAAAAGGGAGTTGGTAATATCAAGCGGACATGGAAATCCAAAGAGAGAAGGGAGAAAGTAGGGAGAGTACCCAAGGAGTGAGAAAGAGAGAATCGGTTGAGAGGGGGAGAAAGACGAGAGAGAGGGTCGGATGAGAGAGAGAAAGGAGAGAGAAATATATGAAAGAGAAAAGATAGGATGCACATAACATATTTGGAGAAGAAAGTATTTAGTATAACTTTAAAAATTCTAAAAACTTATTTTTGAACTTTTTTTCAACAAGACAAATTTTTAACTTGATTTTAGTATAATTTTTAAAATAATCCTACCGAAAAAATACTCGAAGCATACAATTTGAAAATTGTTTTTGAATTTAAAAAATTGGATTATAGTAGAACCAAACAAGTCCTAATCAATCGCGGCTAATCCTAAACTAATAAACAAATTAATTAATCAAATGAAAAAAGCCAACGACCCTCGTTCCTCCCGCGAAAATTCAAGAGAGCTCTCTTTTAGTGAAGCATCGTAAGCACCGGAAATACCGTCTCTTCTTTGTTCGAGTTTTCAGCTGTTGAAATCCTCTTCACGCGATCCGCACTTTCAGATTTCATACTACTAATATTAGAATTTCAATCCGAAATCCGATCCAATTCGAATCACCTCATTCACTCGCTAGTCTGACAATTAATTTGTTACAGTTTGGAAGAGCATCAGAGCTGGCTGAAAATGGCGGTAGAAATTCCGAGCCGGCAGTTATTCATCGACGGCGAGTGGAAAGAACCGGTCCTCAAGAAGCGCATTCCGATTATCAACCCTGCCACTGAGGAAACCATTGGTCTCTCTCTCTCTTCCTCGACTCTATGCTTTTTTATTTTGATTGTGGAAGTACTGATTTGTGGTTTGTAACTTGTTTTCCAAGTTAGGGCTCGTTTGGAAATGTTCCTCTAGAAAGCAATTGTGCTCACAAGCGCTTTTGCTAGAAGTGTTTCAATCCAGAAACACGTTTAACTTTTTGAAACTTTTTTCCGACAACTACTGTTAGAAGTGCTTTTGATTATATGAAAACGCTATTAGCCATCCCAAAAGCACTTCTGGACAGGCGTTTCAATGAAATGATATGTGAATTAGTGGTTGATTTGTGGGAATGTGTGATGCAGGGGATATTCCTAGAGCTACTGCTGCTGATGTGAAGATTGCAGTGGAGGCTGCTCGAAGAGCCCTTGCCAGGAACAACGGGAAAGATTGGTCCTCTGCTCCAGGGGCTTCTCGTGCCAAGTATTTGCGCGCTATTGCTTCTAAGGTACATTGTCTCTGAGTTTCACTATTTAATTTTTTGTTAGTGAAATCATCAATCTGGTTATCATCAGTTGCATGTTAAAACAGTATTATTGCTGATCGTGTTTCGATCTTCTAATCTTTCAAATAGTTTTGATTAACTCTCACTGTAATGAAATTGTTTGAGATGTCTTGAGCTTTTAGTACTTTTGATGCAGATAAACGAGAGAAAAACCGAGCTAGCCAAACTCGAAGCAATGGATAGCGGAAAACCACTGGATGAAACTGTTTCTGACATAGTATGCTAGTGACAAATATTGAAATTATTGCTTACGACATGATGCATAAGGTCTTATGTGATGTCATGGCACCTAATTAACTCAAATTCAATACAGGGGGAAGTCGTAAGCTGTTTCGAGTACTACGCAGGCCTTGCCGAAGGATTGGATGCGAAGCAAAAAACTCCGGTTTCTCTTTCCACGGAGAAGTTCAAAACTCATGTTCTTAAGGAACCGGTCGGGGTTGTTGGGTTGATCACAGCATGGTATGTTGCAGCTTCTTTATTTCAAAAGAAGCCTGAAGCATCTTAATAATGATTTATATGTTAAGGAACCAAAAGTGCTTCTCTCTTATGTTAAGGAACTACCCTTTGTTAATGGCTGCGTGGAAAGTAGCTCCTGCCTTGGCTGCTGGCTGTACTGCTATACTGAAACCGTCTGAATTGGCATCTGTGTATGTCCTGGTTGGTTTATACTTTATACATACGTATTATTTAATTGGTATGTTGATTTTTAACATATATGCGTACCGTTTGTGTTATCCATCGATTCTAGAACTTGTTTGGAGCTAGCTGAGGTGTGTATAAATGTTGGTCTTCCTCCCGGTGTCCTCAACATTCTGACTGGACTAGGCAATGAAGCCGGCGCTCCTTTATCAAGTCATCCAGATGTTGATAAGGTTCAGCTTTTTCTCTTTACTAATTATGTTATTTGAATTTCTGCATACTCGATGATTGTAAGATGTTCTGAGTTGTTAGCCACCAGGATGTAATTGCTATGTGATTAATATTCACCAGATCTCATTTACCGGAAGTACTCTCACCGGGACCAAGATTATGGCAGCTGCAGCTCAATCGGTCAAGGTAGGTTGAAAAACTAAATATCTTTCCATTTTGTTTTCGGGGTTCATTCTCTTCGTTTAATCTTTGCATACTTTCTCCTATGTGGTTTCTTTGTAGCCTGTTGCATTGGAGCTTGGAGGGAAAAGCCCCATTGTTGTTTTTGATGATGCTGATATGGAAAAGGGTTAGTACATCTTGGGCAAATGAATTGCTTCCGTTAGAAACTAGTTGCGCATGGATAGAACATGCACGCGAATCTGATTGAAACATATAGATATGGTACTGCTGCCGGATGACAGTACTGTTATGTTAACTCTCTATTACTCTATGATTCAATTGAACAGCTGTGGAATGGACTTGCTTCGGTATATGTTTGTCAGGTGGTCAGACTTGCAGCTCAACCTCCCGTCTCATAGTGCAGGTAAGTATAATAGCGTGATCGATGCTACATTACTTTCTGTTAGTCCCTTCTAAGTTACATAGATATTTACTAGAGTACTAATTAATCCCTTGCATTTCGACTTTAGGAAAGCATTGCTATGGAGTTTGTGAACCGGCTTGAGGACTGGACCAAACTCATCAAGATTTCGGATCCTATGGAAGAAGGTTGCAGGCTTGGCCCTGTTGTCAGTAAAGGGCAGGTAAATCAACTGTCAACAATTTCTTCATTTTATGTTAGAGTCTCCGTGCACGAGCGAGTGAACGCACTTGTGTTTGTCTTTTGAGACAACGAAAAGCTTTAAATTTCGTTCTGAAGTTTACGATCCAAGTGAGTGTTATCTAATCTTCACTGCATTTGGTTCGGTTCAGTATGAGAAAATAATGAAGTACCTCGAAGGGGCTAAAAGTGCAAAAGCAAAAGTTCTGTACGGCGGGAATCGTCCTGAGGTATAAACTAACCTATACATGGTACATGACTTTATTCTGTATCAACAACTTGAGACTGTTAAAAAAAGGATGGCAATGGCAGCATCTGAAGAAAGGATTCTTCATCGAACCGACCGTCGTAACTGAAGTAACATGCGCCATGAAAATATGGAGAGAGGAGGTTCTCGGGCCTGTTCTTTGTGTCAAAACATTCAATACAGAAGAGGAAGCCCTTGACTTAGCAAATGACAGCCCGTGAGTTGAATCTCCACTTCTTTTTAGCCCCGTTTCCTTCTTTCGGTCAATTTCTTCCTCTTATATTCTCCTTACTACCCACATTTGTTTGATCTTCCCTTGACAGTTATGGCTTAGGTGCTGCTGTCATGTCAAAAGATTTAGAAAAGTGTGAGCGCTTTGCTAAGGTAAGACTGATAAGATATTATAAGTTAGTGTTCTAATAATCGCTCTAGGCGGCGTATAGGCACTGGCGTAATGCCACTGCTATGATTGAGGCCGAATCTTTAGAAAAATTGGGCGGCGTCTAGGCAGGCAACGCGTGGGTTGGGTGGGCTGCAGATCGGCCGAAATCTCTAAATGGAAGTTGTTACTCTTAATGGCCGAAAATACAAAATCTGCATAGTCCCTCGCCTAAGCCCTGCCTAGGCCCTTGGGCGCTATGGCCTTCTCCACCGTTTGACTACAGCCTAGTGGTTTTTGGAACATTGCATATAACTGGTTGTATATTCCTTTTTAGTATCTCTTTCATCATGTTATATACGTGACACGAGGAATATTAATGGCATCATTTTGATAATTTGGTTACGAATTGTGTTTCATTTTGTTGGTGTGATGCTTTGCAGGGTGTTCAAGCAGGAGTTGTATGGATCAATTGTTCACAACCATCCTTCATTCAGGCTCCATGGGGAGGCTACAAACGAAGCGGTTTCAGCCGTGAATTAGGAGAATGGTACATTTTCTTAATCTTCTGTTAATTTAATTTTAATTTTCTCTCTCTCAATCTCAATATCAGCATTGTGTTCATTTTCTCCTCAACCTCAGCATAGTGTTCATTATTTATTCTTAATCTTATGTTAACTTAATTTTAATATTGTGTTATGATTTTGATTATGGGAAGGGTAATGATGGTATTTCTGTTTTTCTGTTGTGCAACAGGGGACTTGAGCTTTACTTGAACATCAAGCAAGTTACCGAATATGTATCAGATCAACCTTATGGTTGGTTTGAGGGACCTCCTCCTTCAAGTCCCTGAACAGAAGAATTTGAAAAAACGAAAAATTAGAAAATAATTCAACTATGTTGAATAAAATAAAAAGGTTAATATATATTTCAGTGTGTCCGAAACATAAGGTGGTACACTATATGTCGTTATACAAATGATGAGATAATTGTGTTAAAAAAATTAACAACTGAAAAAAATAAAACATCATTCCACTTGTATGATAACACGTAATGTGTACCACTTATGTTCCGGGTACAATAAATATGTAATGAATCGGACTTTAGAGAAATAACTATTTGAGTATATATTCATGTTGTTATGTTGTATTCATTCTTAAGAAACAAGTTACGTGATTATTTCGTGAAAAATAATATTTTGGACGGTTTGTAATTTAAGTAATTGAAACTTTTTTCCCTATCCCAAAACTAAGCGTTTAATTTTCTTATTTTAAAATATAACAGTATCTTAATTTTAAAATGTAACAGTATCTCAAACTAATATACATGGTCAAATAAAAATTTCAAATGCATATGATATTTTGTTATTCGTTCTGATCCTAGTTATCCAAAAGCTCTGACATTTCCCCAAATTTAAAAAATTTAAAATAAATAAAATAAAATAAAAAAAACTTCACAGGCCACCTGGTGAGCCGGTATCGGTGGCTTGCACGTCTAGATTATGCATTATTGGGCTTGTTCTTTTTCAACAAGTCGGCGATTCCAGAACATCCCACCAAACAACTCCACATCACGTTGCTGCTTAGCCCAGTCTCTACGTATCACTCTATCACTGCGCAGAGAGAGAGAGAGCTGAAAAATGGCGATCCAAATACCGAGTCGGCAGCTGTTCATCGACGGCGAGTGGAGAGAACCGGCCCTCAAGAAACGCATCCCAATCATCAATCCTGCTACTGAACAAATCATTGGTCTTTTTCTCACCCTGAGCTTTTTTGTCAATAAATTAATATCTGGGTTGTTTTTCTAAATTTAATATACTGTTTAGTCATCGCATGTGATCGTTTGATGTATTTAGTGGCTGAAGAGATTGAGCAAAAATTTGATGTAAATTTGGCTTTATCTACTGACCCAGAACTTTGTTTTAAATGAAACATTTAATTAAATTCGTAAAAATAGAGTGCTGGCCCTGTTGGGTATTCGATTCTTGCTTGATCTTCTAATGGGAGATCCAAAGATCGTCTCTTTTTTTTTTTCCCCCTTCAAATTTCTGTGGTATCTGTGTTGATACAGAAAATAATGGAAATGGAGAGATGGGTTTTGTAATCTGACTTAAATCTGGTATGTGAACTGGTTGTGGAATGTGTGGATGCAGGGGATATACCTGCAGCTACTGCTGAAGATGTGGAGCTTGCGGTGGAGGCTGCTCGGAAAGCTCTTGCCAGGAACAAGGGGAGAGACTGGGCATTGGCGCCTGGGGCTGTTCGTGCCAAGTATTTGCGCGCTATTGCTGCTAAGGTATTGGCTCCGTTGTCAATTAAATTAATCGGGTCTTGAATTTGATGTTGAAAGCGTATGGGGAAACCGATAGTTGTAGTTGTTGTGCTATATACTTGTCTCAATTCTTATGTTTGGAGGTTGATATTTTAACATTCAAGAAGAAATGAAGAAGAAATGGGTCTGAACTGAACAATTTTGAATAACTGCCTCGTGTTTCTTTCAAGTCTCTTTCTTGGACTATTGTTGATTTTCTAACTTCCATAATGACCTTTCAAAGATTTGGTCGTGTTCATATGTCTTACAATTTTCTTGTTTTTGTTTGCGTGCAGATAGCAGAGAGAAAGCCTGAAATAGCCAAGCTCGAAGCAATTGATAGTGGAAAACCATTGGATGAAGCTGCATGGGACATAGTATGCTTGTGATTCTCTGACAATTTGAATTGTTATTTATCATGCATAAGGTCTTATGTTCTGGCACATGCATTGCAGGATGATGTTTCTGGTTGTTTTGAGTACTATGCAGACCTTGCTGAAGGTTTGGATGCACAGCAAAAGACTCCTATTTCTCTTCCTATGGAGCAATTTAAAAGCCATGTCCTTAAGGAGCCCATTGGCGTTGTTGGGTTAATTACACCATGGTATTTGCTGCTTCTTTATATTAAATGAGTATGTTCAATTTTAGTAAGATTTTCTTCCTTGGTGGTTGCACTAACCTGTTTGTAAAGTAAATTTTCATCTGTAAACCTTAAATTTTGGATTGTGAATTGTCCTAACAGTCCCGTTAGCAATGACAATCTTTAGATATTGTAGGTTTATCTTGTAAATAGCCTTTCAGTGTTATTATATGGTGATGAAGTGCTTATGTTTTTATGTTAAGGAACTACCCTTTGTTAATGGCTACATGGAAAGTCGCTCCTGCCTTAGCTGCTGGGTGTGCTGCAATATTGAAACCATCTGAGTTGGCATCTGTGTATGTCCCTTTTTGGTTTATATGTACTTTCTTCAGCTCTTATGTTGCTTTTGTACATTGAATGCCTACCATCATGTTATCAATCAATTTCAGGACTTGTTTGGAGCTAGCTGATGTGTGTAGAGAGGTCGGTCTTCCTCCTGGTGTCCTCAATATCCTGACTGGGCTGGGCCATGAAGCTGGTGCTCCTTTGGCATCTCATCCCCACGTTGATAAGGTTCGGGTTTTTCCTTGCTAGTCTGTAGTTGGAAATTCTATGAATATATCTTCTTGTAATCATGCAAATTTGTTAGTTGTGACAGCTTGGGTTGTTTTAGCTGTGTGGTGGTAATAGTAATAAACTTATATTCAACAGATTGCATTTACCGGAAGTACTATGACTGGGAGCAAGATTATGACAGCTGCAGCCCAATTGGTGAAGGTACAGCCAAGGCTTTGTAATCTGATAATTGTTCATTTATATTTGTGACATTTGTACTCTTCATTTGAACTTCATTTACCATCTCCGATGTTGTTTGGCAGCCTGTTTCACTGGAGCTTGGTGGGAAAAGCCCAATTGTTGTTTTTGATGATGTTGATATTGACAAGGGTTAGTTCCTCATGAAGGCTACATTTTAGACTTACATGTTTTTTTTTATAACTAATTACTTCCATCAGGATCTAGTTGTATAGGGAGAAAATCTATGAATCTAAAGTGAAATGAAAAAATATACTAGTCCTGGTACTATAATGGTAATTGTTTACTCTATGACTCAAACAGCTGCTGAATGGACTGCCTTCGGTATCTTTTGGACAAATGGTCAGATTTGCAGTGCAACATCTCGGCTTATAATACATGTAAGTATGATAGCAAGATGATACATCACTTTTTGTCAGTTCCTTCTTTGTTGCACGGATGGTGGTGCATCTTTTTAAACTAAGTGGATATTACATGTAAATTCAAACAATTCTAGACCACAGGGTTCATGCATGATAATTAACTTTTGTACTACAACATCATCAATTATGCCACTTTCCCGCGGGTAGTTGAATGTGGTTTCCCTAGAAGCTTCTTCATAGTGCCATCTTAAGCAAGCTTATACTACTGTATTAATTTCCTTGCACCTTGTTTCAGGAAAACATTGCAGCAGAGTTTTTGGATAGGCTTGTGCAATGGTGCAAAAACATCAAGATTGCAGATCCTCTTGAAGAAGGGTGCAGGCTTGGCCCTGTTGTTAGTGGAGGGCAGGTGAGTATACCATTAACAATATTTGCATTTTGTTTCTGTTTTTAGTTCTCTATTTCTTGAATTGGGGGATAGTGTGTTAAAGCAACAGGTCCACTGACACATATTAGACAATTGTGAAGCACTAAGGTTCCAACTAGTTATCTTTTTCTCGTTCTAAGTCTGTAAATGTAAGATTTGGACTTATGATACTCAAGTTGTCACTCTTGTAAAACATGTAAAACAAGGGCTGTCTAAATCAGCAAGTGTGAGCTGTTTATTCTTCCAATATTTTGAACATGTCTATTTAGTTGCTTGGACGTTAATAAATATGTTATATTCGGGCTTGTCTTGTGTGTGGGCCTGGGTTCTAATTTCAAATCTTACCCGGTAATGAACCATTTTTATAGTCTCTGGAAAGTGTTTTTTTTTTTTTTTTTTTTTAAATCTAAAATTGCCATGTTTATGCTAAACAACTCCCCAGCCATTTATGTTGCAGCCTTGCTGGACAGTCTGTTGAAAAGTTTCTTCTTTGGATGAATTTAGGCTGATAAATTGTATTTTATGTTTGTTATAAAGAGTAGAGTCCCTACGGTTTGACATGCATCCGCATATAGCTCACTTTCTGCGGGTGATAATTATACGTGTGTTCTTCAGATACAGAAATATGCAAAAGTCAAACAGTTAGAAACATCAAGTAGTTCAAATCTTTAATTTCACTGCCCAGTTTATAATTGAAGTATTAGAATATTACCTGATTTTCACTGGATCTGTTTCAGTACGAGAAAATATTGAAGTTCATCACAACAGCTAAGAGTGAAGGCGCAAGAGTTTTGAGTGGTGGGGCTCGTCCTGAGGTATAAACCTATGTTTCCATCAAGCCCATTCTGCTGCTTTATTTGTCACAAACTCAATTTGTGAGTTATATTATTGGTGGATGGCAGCATCTAAAGAAAGGATTCTTCATTGAACCAACAATCATAACTGATGTAACAACCTCCATGCAAATCTGGAGAGAAGAAGTTTTCGGACCTGTTCTTTGTGTCAAAACATTTAGTTCAGAAGACGAAGCTCTTGAACTAGCAAACGACAGCCAGTGAGTTGACTCTTATTTCTGTCACCGTCCATAGTGAGAGATTTGTTCGACTGCTTTTTTTGTCCCATTTTGACTGATGAAGTTTATTGAACTTTGACAGTTATGGCTTAGGCGCTGCAGTCATATCGAAAGATTTAGAAAGGTGTGAGCGTGTCTCTAAGGTGAGACTCCCTTGTACTTCTTTTGTGAACGGATCATCCCCTGTCCCAGCATTCGTAAAAACAGCATCTGATTATGAGTTGTGCTTCTTGTTCTTCTGCAGGCCCTTCAAGCAGGAATTGTATGGATCAACTGCTCGCAACCATGCTTCTGTCAGGCTCCATGGGGAGGCAACAAACGAAGTGGTTTCGGGCGTGAATTAGGGACATGGTATGGCTTTCTTGGCATTGTGTTATAATGTTCCATTGATATTGCATATATTTTAGGCCTAATATAATCACACTGCATATCCGAACTAAGCATAAAAGAACAACGAACATTGCATTACAGTTACTTCTGCAAATTAAGATCGGTGAACTGCAGATGGTAATAATAGTTTCTTCTCTTTTGAACAGGGGACTTGATAATTACTTGACCGTGAAGCAGGTTACCGAATACGTATCTGATGATCCATGGGGTTGGTACAAGTCGCCTTCAAAGCTGTGAAAGTTTACCCGCGAAAGAGTATGGTGAAAACTTCAGATGTACTGATAACGCACAGGAATGAAGAGGGTGAAAATATGTACTGAGCTAGAAAACTGGATGTCAATTTTAACCATTTGACTAGGAATAAGACACGGTTGAATTCAGAGGTACTTTGTTGAGGAGGAGGAAGTCATGGTTAAAATCTTGGGTGCAACCGGTGTTCTATCCTCTTGTGCATGTGATGAGCAGGCGTAAGAGGATATACACTCAGTTATACTTAAGCATTTTTTTTTTATAGTCATGATATATTACAGTCGAGCACATAGTCTTGTAGATCTCATAAAATTGCTACCCATGATGCAGTGTGTACTAATGGCAAGGGTTCCAATTATTTTATTAGTAGGGGTCCTAGGGGACCATAAATTCCAGTACAAAAAAAAATCGAACTTGAATGCAAGAAAGTGGTCACACTATTCCTGTCATCGAGCCTAATTTTTTGTGCAAAAACTCGATGTATGTTGGGGCCATGGCCACCCTACATTCAGGGACGGCTGTGGCAGCCAACATTCCGGTCATCATAGTGGTGATCTAAAATTTGATGGCTTTTCGGTGGTGGCTTGTTCCACAAGAGATTGACCACTAAGTTTGGGAGTCAATGTCACATGGTATGAAGGCAAGCTTCAATCTTTCTCAAAGTTTAGACATGTAGGTGAAGTTTCACCTTTTCCCCTTCTTAGTACTGATTTTGTACTGATGTGCTTTTATAAAAAGTGAGTATAAAAAAAAGCTGAGCTCAAAAAAGTGTTTGGTAAACGTTTAAAAACAACTTATTTTTACAGTTTTGGATGAAAAAAAGCTGAAAACATGAAGCAGCAAAAATACAATTATTCTCACAACACATCAGAAGCAGTTTTTTTCAAAGCATATTAATACCAAACCAACCATTAGTCTTGAAGCCAACTTCTTTCAAATTAAATGGCAATCTTTACTTTGTTTGGTGACAAATCTCAATAAAATTAAAGGAAAACTAGTTAAAAGAACTTGAAAACTTCGAGTTTTAATCAAAATGACAAAAAATATCGTAAATAAATAGTATCACGAGTGATTTTTTAAAACAAAAATATTATTTTTGTTAAAAAGTAAACAATACTACGAATGTTTCTTTAAAACACTCTAAAATTAAATGGAGCGAGTTAGTGAGGTGTCCGTGTCCACGACAACGAGGCTGAGAGCCTCCCAACCAGTCAGCCTCACGGGGATGCCCAGTTACCCGGGTCGCACCCACCTCCCTCACCCCCTCCATATCCAAAAAGTAATGGGAAAAAAAAACAGAGGGAACCTTCCTCTGCGTTCTCTCTCTCTGCATTTATGTTCCAAACTTCGGATTGTATATGCTCACATCCTCATACACTGCATTATTATTATAATACACGTTCTGGATTCCAGACCCTTTTTAATCTCTCTCTCTCTCTGAGCTGTGAGAAACTTCAGATTTTGTCCGTTGCTGTAGCTTCCTTGTTCCCTGGTGAACCTCCAACTACAGATTTTAGCTCTCCATATAAATTATACATTTGGGCTCCTTTGTTACTGCCACTCCATTCCTTCTATTCAAGTTTCTGGCTTTCTAGCGGAACCACCGCTGCCTCCTTCGGCTTTTGGGATCTGGGTTTTCTGCATAAGACATGGGGAGCTCGGACGAGAAGGTGGTTGCTGTGATCATGGTGGGTGGGCCCACTAAAGGTAAATAAAAAGTTACTGTCATGATCTTTGGATCGAATAATGAGACCCCATTTCTCAATTTCTCAGTTTTGGTGATGCTTGTTTGAATTTTCCATGGGAAAGTTCAAGGCTTCGTGCATTTTTGAGAGAGTAAATTTCAATTGTTGAATCATGAATTGGGAATCATGGCATTTCTCTTACAATCTTTGAGAAAGCATTTCTTAATATATTGGAGTTTCAACTCTACAGGAACTAGATTCCGGCCATTGTCACTGAATATACCGAAGCCGCTTTTTCCATTAGCAGGACAACCAATGGTTCATCACCCGATTTCCGCTTGTAAAAGGGTATATTCTTGTAGATAAATCTGTCATTTCTGGCTTCGTAGTGTGCATACTAGTTGAATTCACTGTCTTTTGGATTACAGATTCCGAACCTCACACAAATTTTCCTCATTGGTTTCTACGAGGAGCGTGAATTTGCGTTATATGTGTCTTCAATCTCTAATGAGCTTAAAGTCCCTGTTAGGTGTGAGCTCCTGCTTTTGTTTTCCAGTTAGTAGTTACTGATTAGATCTTGAAAATGTTGAACTGGATTTGATGTTTAATCTGTTGGTTGTACATTGCGTTGGTGTGGCGATTAGATATTTGAGGGAAGACAAGCCACATGGATCAGCTGGTGGACTTTATAATTTCAGAAATCTGATCATGGAAGACAACCCGGTTAGTCTTTTACCAACTCCTTTTTAATCAATTGATAAGTTTTTATCTGGTTTTTTGTTTGTTTGTTTGTTTAGGTCTTTCGTCTTAAATAAGTTGTGTCGATGCATACATGTTCTAATTCTCAGGCAAAAGGCTGATTGTGGTTCTTATATTTGTTTGCAGTCGCACATTGTCTTGTTGAATTGTGATGTTTGCTGCAGTTTTCCGCTTCCAGAAATGCTTGGTAATTGTTTCATGAGTTGCTGGGAGTTTCGTATGATTGTTTCCAGGTTATTCATTGTGGATTTATAGGGGGATTACAGAAAGCTTAATCTCCACTTTTTACCTTGTTTATTTGCAGAGGCTCACAAAAAATATGGTGGTATGGGAACAATCCTTGTGATCAAGGTTGGTCAAAAAATGTGCAAAGTTAGTTAATAATAATATTGATTATTATATTATCTATTGTTCTCCATATCTAAGTTTTCTTCTTTCTTTGTATAGGTTTCTGCTGAATCAGCCAGTCAGTTTGGGGAACTGGTAGCTGATCCGGTCACCAATGAACTGTTGCATTACACCGAGAAGCCTGAGACTTTTGTACGTTTGAGATTGGAATTTCAAGCTTATGGTGCATCAATGGAGAATTTTGTGCTCTCCTTTACCTTTCTTTCTATAATTCTTATTTTATTCAGGTCAGCGACAGGATAAATTGCGGTGTCTACATATTTAAACCAGACATTTTTAACACCATCGAAGGTGTTTCCACTCAGTGGAAGGACAGAGGTAGTGATACATTCTCCATGAATAGGTTGCCTGTGCTATTAGTGTGCTATAATTATGGTAACATGAAACTTTAGTTCCACAAGAACAGGGTATCTTTTTCATTTCTTTGTCAGTAGGAAATTCTTTGATACATAGATTGCTTCCACTAAGATGTATGTTCACTTATTGATGGCATTGGTATTCACCATGCTGAAATCTGGACCGTTTTCTGGTATTTGCAGCTGATTTAAGACGTCTATCCAGCTTCGAATCCCTTCATTCAGCAACAAGGTTTCTCTTCATATAGTATAAAAAGTTAAAAATCTACATTGTTTAGTGAATTAAAAACACCGCTTTACTATAGTGCCATCCAACATATTGAATTGACTAGAATAGAAAGGTAATGCTGATAGAGAGTTCCTTTATCAGGAATGCTCCCACGCATTTTGTAAGGCTAGATCAAGATATCCTATCACCTCTTGCGGGGAAAAAGCAGTTATACACATATGAAACCTTGGACTTCTGGGAACAGATCAAAACTCCTGGGTAAGATTTGCGTCCGAGGTGTTGTCTTGCTATAACCTTGTCCTCGTCAGTCTGGGCCATCTTGTAAATATTTTGTGTTGATACTTGCAGAATGTCGTTAAGGTGTTCTGGTTTGTATCTTGCACAATTTCGATTCACCGATCCACATCTCTTGATGAGTGGAGATGGTACAAAGAGTGCCAGTATTACCGGTGATGTTTACGTTCATCCATCAGCAAAAGTACATCCAAGTGCTAAGGTACGTTTTCTCTCATACTGGCTTTACTAAATGTGCAGATTCAACGAATGGCCTTGCAAAAATCTCATTTGAGTGATTTCTTTTCAACCAGTTTAGGAATCCTATGACTAGGTTGTCGTAACTCTGATTTATATAGTGAAACAGATTAGTATTGTCGCTTTCCAGATCATTTAGCATTCCCTTAGTAATGCATCGATTAAATCTCCTGTTATCTGCTCGTACAGATTGGTCCCAATGTCTCAATATCTGCAAATGCTCGCATAGGAGCTGGTGTGAGGCTCATAAGTTGCATCATCCTTGACAATGTCGAAATAAAGGTACATAACAAAAGCATAGGTTATGGAGTGCATCCTAGATATCGCCTCATGTTGACATATGTACGATGCTTTGTTTCAGGAAAACGCAGTTGTTATTCATGCAATTGTTGGATGGAAATCTTCAATCGGGAGATGGTCTCGTGTCCAGGCACGTTCAAAAACTTTCTACCAACCCATGCTTAATAACAGAACTTCAACTTTCTTTTGTTATTTAAAGCTTTGTTGCAATTGACTTTCTAAGTTTGGCACTATGATTTCAGGCTACTGGGGATTACAATTCAAAGCTCGGAATCACGATCCTTGGTACGTAAATCCTTTTGTTTTCACTCAATCCTCATGTTCTGATAAAATTATTTATTGATTTTGCCTTATGCGCCATCTGAATGCCGGTTTTATTGATAATTCAGGTGAAGCAGTGACAGTTGAAGATGAAGTGGTGGTTATAAACAGCATTGTCCTGCCCCATAAGACTCTCAACGTCAGCGTTCAGGAAGAAATCATCCTTTAATTGCTGCTTTTCTGCGTCATTGCTGTTATTCAAATTTCTCTTTTGTAAATTAACATCTTGCTATTTGCTAATAAATAAATAAATATATATGTATAATAAAAAGATGAATTAATTTTTTTTTTTGGTTGTTGGATAAGATGTTTTGCTTCATCATAGATGATATAGAGGACAACTCAAAACGGTCCACTCGAAATCCAAAGGTTTTCAATCATCGGGAGATAAAATGTATTAATAATTTCAAATTCCAGAAGGAAAACAGTGTTACTGCCAAACACGGAAGGAAAGATACTGATAGACTGGATGTTTGTGTTCGGAGTTGAAAGACCTAGAGATCTAGGCCATTGAATAGGCAGAAAGAAAGATTCGAATCCTTGATTTGTGTGAGGTGAGTTAGTTGAATGTGCTAACGAAGATCGCATAATTTAAAATGAGTGGTCCGGATCTCCAGGTACGTCGGCTTCGAGATCTCTCCAATATGCATAAAAATTACAGTATGCATAAAAATTGCGAGTTTTTAAGAGCCCTTCAGTTTCAGAGAATATATAAACTACAACTAGAGTGATCCCATCAAAGACAATGTATGCAGTATGGTGTGCCTTGTATTTTGTTAATTTCAGAGTTCTCGACTATTTCGCCAGCTGAATCTACGGACAAGCCAGCAGTTGCTGCCGAGGGAAAATCCCCACCCGGGATGGGGAACATCGCACACATAACGCGTATATCCAACAAAATCATTCAACTGGGAAAGAACAATAGAAAGATTCAGGAATGTCTGCAGCAAAACAGGGAGTTCTCGGACTGGTGTACGAATGTTCTATCAAGGCTTAACAATGTGGAGAATGTCTATCTGTGGACGTGTGGGCACGCGAAATTCCTCATTACAAAATAACATGAAATACGATGTTAATTGGGAGATCCGGGACCAGAGATCAGAAGAGAAGATATGTGGAGGTTTTTTCTGAGTTCATGCATTTGTTCGTCAAACATTTTGTATGACTTGCATGTATAGTTGCAAGTTTTACTGTAATTTACTTTAGAAATGAGCACACAATAATCTGTCATATATAATTGGCCCAACTTTCCAATTCCAAACATGAATTTACATCATTCACCCTCCATTTTTTCTAGCGAATACACAAAACATACGCACATATCTAACTAGCCACCGATTCAAAAGGAAACCAATACAAGAATCCTGTGAGAATGTCGAAATAAGACGGTTAAATGTAGTAGTCCTGAGGGTAGCCGTTCTAAACATGGTGCATAGAGTTTGCATCCAACTAGGAGGGGCCATCCCTTCTCTGCCGGGTTAACAAGAGTTGAATTGAAGTGATTTCCTTGAGTCAATGAGCGCAGGTCAAACAGAGAAGCATCAAGAAATTTGGATTGGATTCTTCCCAGCAACTTCGGAGTACCATGTCTTCCATGCTTCCATATAATGAGAAAACAGGTCCTTCAAAGCTTCAACGTGAAGCAAGACACATGATTTAGTAAATTTTCATCCAATAGTAATGGAGACAATAATAATCATGTAAGGCCTGCTTAATTTTGATTTCGATTTCTGCTATAAGACGTTTTCCTATTGCTAGTACGATTGTCCTCTTGGCTTTGTTTCAACATGGGGTTTGGATATCCAGTTCTGTTCTTCCCACATCTAGTCAGTCTCCGGTCATGTTTCTTTCTCTATCCACCTCTCCTCTTTCTCCCACTATTGTCACCTGGTCCTACAGACAAGTTCACCAAGGCTGATGATAGTCATAGATCATTAAAAAAAAAAAAAAAAGTGTGTCCATCAATCGTCTGTGGGTATCAAAACTAATGAAGTTTCTTATCCCTTAGTTGGCTTCCTGATGTGAATTCAAACCTATAGAAATGGATCGCTATTGCAAATGGTAAATGATAAGAACAGCTATATTTACTATTCAAAATCAAATTCTTTCAATCTAATGCATGATGAATCATAAGATGATACCTTGGTTTTGATACTGAGGACAATAAGTAGAGGTTAATTTCTCCCAGTCATGAACCTTCCTCGTGTTCTCAGTCCCAGCTCTGGCAATAGTGACAGGAGCAAAAGGACCGAACTGATAGGTCTTTGAACCATCTTTGGAGTCTTCCAAATTGCTCCTATCAGCCTGACCTACTAGGCCCTTCTGTTTTTGCCCATCCAACTTCCCACCAATAGAAGAGTCTACCTTTCCCCTCTTAGAACTGACGTTCGTTATATCTGTGCCAAAAGCTCTCTTCTTAGTCTCCTGAGGAACCTCCTCTTTTCCTCTCAATCCCAACCACTTAAATGCAGGCTTCCTCGTGTCTGACGTGTGGGTCTGCACATTTTTGCATAAGAAGAAAAACATTTATCTTGACCAAATAATGTTACATGTTAACAAAAGTTGAATTCTGAATTCGGAAGTTTAATTTCTTTCTTCTATTGAGGATTCAAATTAGTGTTTTTACCTTCTCAATGAGGTTCATGGACGACAAAACATTCGCAATATCATAAATCCGCCTTACCTTTGCTGCTTTATCAAGTTTTGAACAAAAGTTAGTCAATAGTTTCTGCTCCATTATAACATATGATCAGGAATAAAGAAAACCAAGTGTAAATTTCTTACTTCTCATCATTGATGCATTGTGTGCATCTCCAAGCAGTAATTTGGCAGCTTCATCAAGGGAAATCGTTTCAACCTACAAGTTCATGCAGTAAAATCAATTATGGCCCAAACTTACGCTAAACCCAAATCACAGTTTTATAAAATAAGCAAGTTGTTATCCATTATTTCACTCACAGTTGAGCACACAAAGAGCTTCACAAAATTCTGCGTAAGAAGCGCCAGCGACTTTTCCCTTCTATTATCTGCTTAACAACAAATAAAAAGTAAGAGTCTTTAGGACATCACCAAACTTACCATTCAAAGTAATTGAATATCCCCCTATAACTTAGCCCAAAGCACCGAACAAGATTGAAAACACCGAAAACAAGGCTTACCTGATTTTGGGTTCATAGGTTTAAGATTGAGAGTAGGGTTGTTGTTTTCATTCTGCTGACTCCCACATCTTTCTGCATCATCCTCGTCGTCTGAAATTTGATAACCCTGCGAGAAAAAGTGAAAATTTTAGAATTCTGGATTCAAAAACCTTATTTTGAAGAGATGAACAGCTCAATATAGAAAACCCCCCAAAAGACTTACATTTGGATCTTCGTTGCCGTCAAAGTTACAAATATTCTCTCTCAGACCCTCTTCCTATTACACAATAAAATCACCAAATCAGTACTAAGTTCAAACAAATTCAAGAAACGAACACCAAAATTAAGGAGAACATTGGATCAATCTGAATCTCAATGATGAATTGTGAGAGATAAATACCCTTAGCTGTTGCAGGGCATTAGGAATCGCCTTAAATCCTTTCCAAGAATACTGGTTCTTTGCCTTTCGAGCAAGAACCTGGAAATTAAAATCAACCTAATGAATAAATCGATATTCAAAAAACCGAAACAAATTGAAACAAAAGTACCAAGAAAGGAAAGAGAGAAACTGACCCCAACGCTCTCCAGGACGTTGACAATATCGTAGATCCTCCGCCTCTCAACACCTGAAAGTCGAGAAACCATTAGATCCGATGAAATGAATACAATGAGGTGCGAAGGGATCGGAGATTGGGGAAAGATCGAGACCTAGTCGCGAAGCCGCGTCGTCAAGGCCGATTGAAGTCACGCCGTCACGGTTGTACAGGACGATGAAACTACGCGATTAGAAAGAAAGGAAGAATTAGAGCGAGAGAAAATCAAAGAATCAAGAAAATTGCAGACAGAGAGAGAGGGAGAGGAGGAGGAGGGGAGAACGTACTTGGAGCACAAGAGGCCTAGAGACTTCTGCTTTCTGCTGTAGCGGTGGTTTCTGGCGGAAGGTCCTGTTGAAGCCGGGTCCGGGGGTTGCTCTGTGGCTGGAGATGGGGGTGGAGGAGCCGTCATGGTTGAGACAAAAAATGGAGGGAAGCGAAGGTGCTGAAAGACGAGAGAGAGAGGACCGTTAAGAAAGAAGGGGGAAAGGGGGGTTGAGGAGCAAAAGGCGGGGGTTTACAAATTTCAAATCTTTGCGAGCGTTTGTTTGGGTTTTGGATCTGAAGGGCGGCTGCGCGAGTGAGCGCCGACGCGGTGGAGCGTAGCAGTCTGCGAAAGAAATAGTACGAGGGTGGAGAGGGGGGAGAGATTGGCGAGTTTTTTCAAATGTTTGATGAATGAGCGCGAAATCTGATGGTTTCAGGTTTTTTCTGTCTTTTCGTAGATGGGAGCCAAATTTACCGAGTCCGGATCCTCGTCGGTTTCGTGAATTTCGAAGATGCGTAAATTATGTCTATTCATTGTACATTGTGTGACTATAAATTATTTTAAATATTTTTATTTAAAAATAAACATAAACAGTATTTGATAAAAACTGATCGCATGATGTACAATGAACGGATACAATTTACAGATCCCTATGATTCTCACCAAAATGATACAGAGAGAATCCTATTGGAAATTTACCGGCTTTTGCCTCCATTTTTTATTTTTTGTCATCACGATATTTGGGTTGGGGTTGCTAATTTGCTGAGCTTGCCCAATTTCCCTCTCGATAAGTATTGTCCCAAGTCAAATTTTACTCCCATGTAAAACATTAAAATTACTCCTTCGGGAAATACAAAATTTTCCTTCTAGCACGTCGAATGAAAATTTTTTAAGCGTGTTTTTTGAAAAGAACAAATAAAAAAATTTCGTTACCCTAAATACAAGAGGGGATTCGATCTTAGGGCTTCATTCAACAACGGAAAAAGTGGTTTTGAAATAAACTCGTTGTCTACTTGTATCGCACAGTAGTTTTATACCAAAACGCAACAAGCAACTTAAACTTACTCGACACAAACTTCTGGAAATCTAAATTGAACGTATTGATTCACAAAGTCGAGAAACCAGCTTCTTCGAAGCTGCAGCGATACAATTTGAGTAGAATGGCGAGGAAAATACAACGGTTTCAACTTGACTAACGTATGGAACTACAAATTTGACAACAGAAGATATGTGCTGAAGTTTACACGATTTCTTCACTTTATACAGTTTACATGATCACAACACAAGCCAGAACGAATCAATTGAAGCTTGAAACTCATGAAACCATTGACAATCATGGCCATTATTTCTCGTTCTTCTTTTCTTGGTAAGCGAATGATTGCCATGTTCAGAGTCTGTTGTTCTTATTTAAGTTTCTCTCGCCGTGATATTTCATTTCAACCAAAATGCTGAGACGGTCCTTCTTGAGCCAGTCCTGTTTTATTTGACTGCTTGCTGTGACAGCCTCAAGTCGGCTGCAAAAAAAATCTTTCTTTCAATCATAGTGCACCAGAATGCCCACCTGATCCTCCAAACGGTAGACCTTCAACACATGGCGATAAGAGAACATCAAGTGTTGAAACTTCAACAGGAACAGAAACCCCTTTGGAGCAGTAGTAGCTGGGGTTAAGATTTGAATGTAGTCAAATCTACATGATTCATGAGCCAATCTGAATTCCAACATGATTCACAATTTTACTTGACGGGGAAGACGACCACATTTGCTCTGCAATCTCAAAATCTCTTTTGCAAAAGCTTGATTACCTGTTAATAAAAGCCCATCCAGAACGCGATTGAAGGTGAACCTTCGCGGCAAAAATCCTCGATCAACCATCTCAATCAACAACTTCCCTGCCACTAACAGGTCTTCAGGTTTCTTCCTCACAAACATGGCACTGATCAAAACATTGTACGTGTCCAAATTAGGCAAGCAATCACCACAACCCATCTTCTCAAACACATTCAACGCCTTCTCAATCTCTCCGGCATCACAAAAGTACCGAATCACAACATTATATGTCTGAACATTTGGCTCACACTCATCCCCCTTCATTCTGTCTATAAACTCCAGCGCCCTATCCATGTTTCCCGAGTGACACAACCCTCGAATCAATACATTATAAGTCGTCACATTAGGCACATAACCCTTGCTCACCATCTCCTCAAAAACCACGACAGCATTTTCCACACTATCTTTCTTACACAAAACCTGAATCAAGGCATTGTAAGTTGCCACCGAAGGAAGCACCCCTTCCCCAACCATCTCATCAAAAACCTTTCGAGCTTTCTTAATCTCCCCGACAACACCAAACCCATGAACCAAAGTAGTGTAGGTAACAACATCAATCTCACACTTCCTCTTCTTCATTTGCAAAAAGAACTCCCAAGCTTCCTTAATCTGACCAGCTCTAAAATATCCTTTAAGCATTATGTTAAACGTCGTTAAACTCGGGTCCAATCCCCTCTCCACCATCTCCCCCAAAAGCTCCAAAGCTTTCGGGGTTCGCTTAATCAAACACCACCCGTTCGCAATTATATTGTAACTAACACAATCAGCCTTAAACCTGCCCCTAAACACCTTAAACAAATTATACGCCTTTTCGACACGCTTAGCTTTACAAAGCACGTCAAGAATTGTATTAAACGAATTCAAATCCTGAGGACAACCATGTTCATGCATTGACAGGAACACCTTAACGGCTCTATCAGGCTTACCAGCAGCCACATACCTCTCTGTGATGATAGAGAAAGTCCTCGGCCCAGGGCCGAGCCTGCGGGCCCGCATTCGGGCCACGAGGGTCCAGAGGGACTTGTAGTCGCGCAGGCGGCCGGCAATATCGACAGCGTGGTCGAAGGAGGAGCAAGAGTGTGTGTAGTTCGGATGGTGGTCGAGGATTCTGAAGAACTGGAGGGCTTTGGGCCCATGATTCCAGAGCCTCTTCAGGGTTTTGTCGACCAAATCGGAAGTCCAATCGATTTGGGGGCTGTGAAGAATCTGGGTTAGGGTTTGCGGGTCGGATTTGAGAATCAGGTTCGCCAAGTGAGAGTCTTGAGAGGGATGAGAAGGTGAGGTGGTGAAGCTCCGACACGGAAATAGAAAACTGGGTTTTGGGTTTTTCTGTGCGGCAGTTTTGAGTTGCAGAGTGAGCATTCTGCTGCGGTTGAAAATGTTGGCAGGTAATTTTCCCTCCTTATTTTCTCGGCAGCCAAACATGTTTCGCGGGCTCAATTTAATTGGCCTTCGTATTTGTCTTTTTCACTATATGAGCCCTTTTTATGAGCCCAGCCCGTCGCAGGTTTGTCAAAAAAAATAAAAGAAAAAAGGGAAGCGGGGCACGTGATGGGCATAATGTAGCTCCGATGTTGATTGTTGCCATTTACTTTTGTGGATTTTAGTTTCATCAGCGCTACGATTTAATAATATTTTTCTTCATTAACAAGTGAGAACTTTCAACTTTAACTTACCTGAATAATGAATTCCTTACTTAATTGGTATTGACAATTGGCGACAATGTGACATTATGTCATTAGCCCTTGTTACATTGTCTACAACTTGACGAGGTTGCACATAAGCTGCACCACTTTCTCCAATTTAGGGAAAAAATCTACCTACAACGGGGGTAATTATGCTCATCAATTTAAGAATCGATGATCAACATGGTATTATGTTATTGGTTCTTATTACATGGTCAATTTGACATTACACGCTGATTAATAATACATACAGTTGGCGAACTTTTTGAGATCCTAATAGATATTGCTTGTCATCCCAATCACGTGGTCAATCTTACGTTACACACTGGTTAACAGCACACGCATCAGGCGAAATTCTCGAGGTCCTAATAGAAATTATCTGTCAATGATGTCTATCAATGACGACGTGGCCTCATGACATTGTTCCTTGTTGGCAATTAATACGACGTGTCATCATGTCATTCGTCATTGTTACGTGGTTATTTGACGTGGCATAGTATATAAAAAAAAAGTAGTCGAGGCACGCTTTTCTCGAGGTTTCAAGAGATGCTTATCAGAAACAAGAAAGCGTGTCAAATGAAGACAAAGATAGTCACGCAAAAGAGTGAGCACTTTAGTAAATTGATTTCCGGTTATTATATCAACACAAGAGACTTTTACATCACTTATCACTCTCGTCTCAGGAGGTGGTTGGTGAACTGTTGGAGTCATCTCGTAACAAAAATCAGGCCCGCTGCGCTCCTCCACCATCTTCTTCATCATCCCATTCGGCTTCAGGTACATCCCTTTTTATTATTTTTTATTTGTTCTTCATGGCATTATGTAGTTGTTTGTGTTCAAGTAAAAAATTTATACATTTTTTGAATGGATTTTGATGAAATTTTGATGGATTTTTTAGGGATTTTATGGAATTTTTGTTCTTTTGATATATGAATTGGGTTATTACAGAAGTTTATGAAGCATGCAGAGTTTCTGTGGGTTTACATTCAGATTTCCTATACAAGTTTACAGCTTTTTTTTTCTAGGTGTGTCAGATTGTGTGATTTATGATGTGCATTTTACCAGAGATTGTACGCGTAACCGGGTTGTATAACCAGAGATTGTACGTATAATCGGGTTGTATATACCCCTCGTTTTATCTCTGTCATCACGTGCCATAGTGATGGGGTGGAGGAAGCACATGTGCCGTGCGATGGCATGTGTGCCCTCCCACATTTTTTTGTCTTCGAGAAATGTTGATATAATCTTGTTAAAATAGTTGCAAAATTTCTCACGAGTTCTTATGTTTCCTTCTTCCTTTTTGTTAACTTTTTATCAAAAATAGTCATTGAGATCGGTCTAACTCCTCATTTGGATTTCTCATATAAAGTTGATAGAAGTAGTCCTGAGATTGTCCACCGTCTATCATCTTGGGCCTTCTGTGAGAAATCTTTGTTAAATTGGGAGTATTTTTGTCAAATCAACCCCTTTCCTTGAATTTGTAGTTTCCTTCAATTTAAATGAGATGTTTCACAGAAAAACCAAAATGATTGACAAAAGACAATCTCAAGTACCACTTCTATCAATTTTAAATCTCATGAACCAAAGTGAGGAGTTATAATAATTTCAAAGACTATTTTTGCTAAAAAGCCTTTTTTGTGTTATCATTCACTCTCATGTACAACCCTATTAAGTTGCATATATTTTGTTAATACGGATTAGCATTGATACCACAAAAAAGAAGCTTTGAATTTTACAAGGTGCATCTCTTAATTAAATTTCTGGCTTAGCCTCTACCTATAGAGAGAGGACATGGTTACACTCAAGATTTTGCCGGGCTTTAGGGGTACTTACGTGCATGTCTGGATATGTGTCTGGTCAGGTTTCCGGCTTTGTCAAGGGAGAGGGTTGCTGTCGAAGATGAGTTCAAGAAGAGGTGACGGGAATCCGAAAGGAAAGCAGTTGAGTCAGGGTGTAGCAAACATTGGCCTGGACTCGGCACAGGACGATGGAGAATGGGAGGTAATTGGCAAGAAATCCAAGAACAGAAGTGGCGGCATATTTGGTCCTCAAAGTTCTAGTTACAAGGCTTGGGGACCGCCACCCCAAGGGGTTCCGAAAACTGGCACGCGCAGTGGTGCTGGTGGTTCACAAGCTGCTCATTCTCAAAAACCAGCTGGAGGAAGAAATGCAAGGCATCCCTATAACAACACAGGTGGTTTTGGAGACAACTTTATGGCCCCGAAAAATGTGATTCCCCCTCCGCTGGACCAAGGATGGAATTGGCAATCTAGAGCTGGCAAGAAAGACAAGAATGTGGTTCCTCCTGCTGCTGTTGCTGAAGATTATGATGACGAGGACAACTCTGATCCTCTGAGTGATCTTGACGACTCGGATGATGATCTCTTCAGCGACGAGTTTGACTCTGACTCTAGTGAAAAGAGTCATGGAACTCGAAAGAAGAGTAAATGGTTCAAACAATTCTTGGACGCGTTTGATCGTTTAAGTGTGGATGAGATTATTGATCCTGCCAGGCGGTGGCACTGCCCTGCGTGCAAAAATGGTCCTGGAGCAATTGACTGGTACGATGGCATGCAGCCCCTGAAAAGGCATGCAGAAACTAAAGCGGCCAAGCGGGTGAAGCTCCATCGAGAGCTTGCGAAACTTATAGATGCGGAGTTGCAGCTCAAGGGAGCCACTGTTACACCTGTGGGCCAAGTATTCGGCAGATGGGCAGCTCTGAAGGATGAAGAAAAGAATCGCAAAGTTATCTGGCCTCCGATGGTGCTGATCATGAACACAAAACTCAAACTGCAGGATGAATACGACAAGTGGATTGGCATGGGAACCGAGGAGCTTCTTGATTTGTTTGATGATTACCATGCTAGTAAGGCTCGACACTCATATGGTCCGCAGGGACATTGTGGGATGAGCATGTTGATTTTTGAGGCCTCGGCGATCGGACACTTTGAGGCAGAGCGGCTGCACAGGCATTTTGCAGAACAAGGATTTGGTAGGGATGCGTGGGAGCGCAATCCTGTCTTGTTTCGTCCAGGTCTTATCCGACAGCTCTATGGTTTCTTGCCAACCAAGCGAGACTTGGATACTTTCAACCAGCACTGCGATGATAAAGCGGGGCTGAAATTCGATATAAAATCTTACCAGGAGATGGTTTTGAAGCCGACAAGGCAGATGAGTCTGGACAGCGAAGAGGTTATTCGGCTGAAGGACAAGCTCCCGAAAGAAATGAGGCTCAGGACAGATGCTGAGGAAACTAATGCCATACTTCGTGACAAGATCGAAAAGCTGCAAGATGAAAATCGTCTTTTGAAGCAGAGGATCAAAACGCAGCTGGAAGAGAACAAGGAAGAGATGATTCTGCAGGAAGAATTCTACAAAGATGTTATATCTCGTCCTCGAGATTAGAAGTTCGACTCAAGACTTTCAAGTATTTTACATTTCGTTTCTCTTTTCCGTTTTGGTCAAGAACTAAGTTACATTTCGTTTCTGTTATTTCTTGTTGGGATTTTCGTTTCATTTGGTAAGAACTTGATCGTATGCAATTTTAGTATTTGAACTTAAATGTTTGTTTGGTGTTTTTTTTTTTTATATGGATCAGCCTTAGATTTTTATATTGGTTGATTAAGCATTTTAGGAATCCTCCCAAACTTTAATGGCGTTTTTTATTTGTATTTTTATCTCCGATTATGAGGAAGAGACCCTGCATGAACTAGTTCATTGCTACTGTGGCATATATTTAAGTTTCTTTTTATATTACATTGTGTTATAGGATCAGAATGCCACATGATAAACTTGTTCTATGTAAGTTGCTCGAGTCCATTCAATCCACTCCACTGCCTGGTCTATAAGCCTTGACTGACCAAACTCCAAAAACAAATCCTGCCAATTCTTATCGTTTTGGTTCGTATGTAGTACCCTCCCCTAGAACCATGAAAGTGATATTTAAGTTAAAATCTCCCCACCTACCTGTGCTTCCTAATTCTCCATCAAAATTCTCACCAACGTACATATCTGTAATAATTCCCCACCTTAAATGACAAAAAGCCAAGATTTAGCCCAACCATAAATGCATACTACGCATGTCTAACGAAGGTAGCAACGGGGTAAAAAATTGAAATTTACTATGCTACCAGAATAAAATTAATTATCTCCAATGAAAGTAGCAATTCAGTTTAGTAAGGATACATATTAGGTACTCCCTTGTGTACTCTATGTACTTGTTTTCTGATTTGGCTCAATAAAAAAATGTCACATGTTTTTTGTTTTTAAAGCCAAAGAAAAATTAAAAACTTATCCATTATTTTTTTCAGACAATAAAATATATGTTAAAATACCACTCGACAAAGAAATTGACTCATGTGACATCCCGTCCCGAGATTATAAAAACGTACGTGTGAATTTACCTTTTTACCCCTAGTTCGTTACATTTACGTTTATTGTTGTTTTGTGTGGTGTGGCATGTGTTGGACCACACACACACACTCACACACACTGTCTCTATCTCTCCCGTGTTTCCCTCTCCCTCTGTCTCTTTCCTGTCTCTCTCTCTCTCCCCGAGTCCTCTATCATTCTTCTTCTTCCTTCAACGCACGGACAAACACCAAACTCACCCAAACCATCACTCTCCGAGGAAACTAAGGACACCTTCGAACTCGTGAAGCTCGTACGAGTGCAACCATACCATTTTCAGGTGAGAAATCCTTCGTTTTCACGTCGATTCGAGGTAGTCCGATTTAGGTACTATTCATGCAAACTTAATCTAGCATGTTTTTGGGATTTTGAAGCTTGTAGATGTCTTAGTGAGGTCCCAAGGAGCCTCGGAGTGCTTCGTTGGACGAATTTGGACGTTGGGATAGCTTGGTTTAAAGTTGGCCGGTTTTTGAGTTTGAAGACAGGTATGATCGCGTGGTTTTTAGCCTTTAAAACTAGTATATCATGATTCTACTAGTCCTAAGCTTCATTTTGGTCCAAGAATCATGAAAATTGGTTGAGAAACGAGTGAGAAAACTAAGTTTGAAGTTTTCCCAGTTTTCCGGCGCCGGAGGCTCGCCGGAGAAGGTGACGGGATATTCCGTCAAATCTGACGGAATATTCCTGACGCCGTTAACGGAATCTGTCAAAACTGACGGAATATTTCTAACGGCGTCAGTTGACGCCGTCAGTGTGCACCGCACGTGCCTGCGCGTGGCCGGCGCGTGTGGCCGTGCCTTGCCCGGCGCGTGGGGGCACGTGCGGCGGAGGAAAATTATTCTAAAAATATGGTTGTGATCCTGAGGTTGTGTAGAGCACGTTGGTATATTCATTTGTCCAATTTGAGCAATGTATGAGAAGTTATTACGAGAAGTTGGTTATGTGCTTTTAAATTAACGTTTTCATGGCTATTTCGCATATAGGTGATTCGTATCCCGAGGACGAGCATGCACACTCGAGGCAGGGGGGCTACGACCTTTTGTTTTCCGCATATACCTATATACATATAGTTCCCAGAAATTAATATAAATGTTATTAATTATGTGCCATTCCTTTTATGTTATTGGTTATTATGTATGATGAGTTGCATATATGTTTGTTTATACATTCATTTATATGTGCATATATATATTGGTGCGGTGGAGGCACAGGTAAGTGCCAGGTAAGCGTTATTTAATAAGTGCATTAAATAGTGATTAGAGGTGCTTAGAGAGCTCATAACCTGCACCCCCGGTGTTAGTGCTCCCGCCCTGAGCAGGGCACAGTCCTTCACGTGATGTTCACCTCCCGCACCATATGCTCAGTTTGGATCCAAGCTAGGTGCACAGTCTTGTCGTACAGACCACATTAGGTGGTTCCGACTCGTAGGTGACCCGCGATTATTCACACAGCCTTCACGTGATCGTAGTACTAGAGCATACATATGTATTACACCCAGGCCTGTCGTACAGACCACTTTAGGTGGTTCCGACTCGTGGGCAGGTTCAGTTGTTCAGTTATTGAGTTGAGATTTGAGCTCTATATGCAGCCGTACGGGTCACGTTAGGTGACTCCGGCTGCCAGATGTTATGCTATTGATGTGATTAATACCTGAGCACTTGCATATTATTATGAGGCGTTGACATGGCACATTCTTGAGCATGATTGGTATACTCTTGAGCATGTTTGGCATATCTATACATATGTATATATGTTTATTTTATGGGAAGTATACAGGTTTTACGGCGAGAGGTTAGAATGTAATTTGCTAAATGGTTTTCAAAGAGCTTTGTTTTTGCCCACCTACGCTTTTGTTTTTGCGCCCCTCCAGGTTCTAGTGGTCTAGCAGGTTCGGTGGTTTTCCCAGGGGGCGTCCCGACATTTCTGACAGATACTCACCATTGTAGGGTCACCTTCGGGTGTACTATTGTCGTATCATTTTCTTCAGGCTGCTGTAGACTTTATGCTCTGAACTTAGCATTTCACTTACGCTAGCACTTGTCTTAGTACTTTGTATGCTAGTTTTTAAATTATTCGTACTTTTACATTACTTTCTTTAGCTTCCGCACGTGCACATGGCTACGTCACCTCTGCGTGACGGCCAGCACGCCCTGATCTCGGTCGGGGTATGTCAACTCACCTCATAAAGATGACTCCTCAAAATGAAAATCGATCAATACAGTCCGTAAATATAAGTGCCGCAAATCAATGTAATCTTTCCGTAAAAAAAAAAAAAAAAATTATATTATGCGATGATGTGTAACAGTAGAAAATGCAGCCCACATATATGAGTCGTGAAAAATGATTCAAAATAATATATATAATGAAGTAATTTGAAATACTAAAAATAAAACAAAAAAGTTATTAAACAAAAAATTAAGTGCAGCACTTACTTTCTGGATGAGCAAGACTCGAACAGTGCGATAATGGCAAGGAGAAATTGAAGCGGTTGTGGCTGGCTTGGGGTCCGTGGGTGAGGATCTGACGGACGGACGGATGGACGGTATAGGATGAGATTAAAACCAGTGGTGTCAGGGTTGGGCGTGCGTGGGTTGGGGGGTTTGGGGTTTACTAAATTAATTAAGGCATAAAAATAAAGGAAGGAAAGTGTTATTAGCATTCCAAAAATCTCATTTTATTCTTTATAAGTGTATTTTTCTTTCCTAATATAAAAAGTTTGGAGTGTATGATGAGATTTTTGAAATATTAATAACAATTGTCTGAAAAAATGGTTATGAACTATTATGGACTGCGTGGCCTAATCATAAGGGCTCTCTCGAGGTTTTGTGTTCGATCCCAGAGAGCGTAGTTGCTTTTTTATTTATTTGGAGAACAGCATCACGTCAAAGCAAGTTACACGTCCACATAAATACTGAAGCAAAATTAATATTTTAACAGAAAGTGATCACAATACAATGTCATTGCATAAGAAACACATGTAGTATGTAGTTTAATAAGCTTGTTTGAACTTATTGACCATAACTTTGTTCACATATATTTACAACAACGCCATCTGTACATTTACAACGCATGACAAAAATTTCACATTGAAAGTGACTAACATACAAATAATATGATTCACACACTTATCTTTATCCTATAAATTAACTTCCCACTTGTCCCTTGTTACTTGAGAGACTTCTCTTTATCCTATAAATTAACTTCCCACTTGTCCCTTGTTACTTGAGAGCGGAGGAATCCTGGAATGCGTTTGCACAGAATTATTCCCAACTAGCTGCCATGACCAAAAGTATGAAGTCAATGACGGTCTTACCCGCCAGGGGCTTCGGAAGCAAAAAGGCTTTCATGGCAGCCAGTTGGGGATAAGTCTGTGCAAACGCATCCCAGGATTCCACGAATGCTATAACTCCGCCTAAGAATCCCAATCCTTGGTCCGATTCTTGGGTAATGGGCACGCGACTGAAATTGTAGGCTGAGTCGTCACGGGTTCACGATCAGGTTCTTGCATCTCCTCAGGTCCTCGATGTTCACGAGCATAGGGTCCTATGAACATCCATGACATGAGTCCCAAGATCCGGAGCCCGCAACGGTGCTTGAGGAGATGCAAGAACCTAACCGTGAGCGTGCGACAACTCAGCCTGAAATTTCAATCGTGTCCACATTACCCAAAAATTGGACCAAGGATAGGTATTCTTAGGCAGAGTTATAGCTTTCATGGAGGACCTTACTGTTAGTCTACCCTTTATCTTTACATCTTACAATTTCTATGAACGCCTATATTGTATATTCAGTTGAACATGCTTAATATCGTCCAAACATTTCATATTTTTTCGGATGATGATATGTTTTGTGGGAAGATACCGATCAAGATATAAGTTAAAATTGTGGGAAAGATGGTTTGGAATCGAGTTAGAATGTTTGAGTTAAGAAGATTAAAATTTCTGTGTTTTTAGAGAATTGAATTTTGAGAAAATTTCAGATTCTGTGAAGTTCTA